CAAGACTAATACCGTTAGCCTATGCATAACCTCGAGAATTCTATAGGTTTGTAGGCCGATGTATTTTGTAGAAATCGCACATTCTGTTGTGATTGTATAACATGTGAAGACTATTATATTGTTAGCCATACAAAACACAATATGATGTGCAGCGATAAACAAAGTAGTCACTTCAAAAATGGATTTTTAAAAAACTAAGCTTGAAAAAAGCTTCGTTGTTCTAAAAACTTAAAAACTCCGGTTTCATGCGATTGAAAATTAACAAAGCAAGCTATTTATTTCAGTAAAATTAATAACACAATAGGACGCCCTACATTTCAGTCGGCCGTTCAAATTTTACTACCAGGTTTCTCGCAGATATCGTTCATCAGATTCATCGTTCCGGATTTTGCTTCTCGTCAAACAACTCGATAAAAATGACCGTATCGAATCGGTTTGCATTATTTGAACGTTCTTTATTCTAGACAATCGCGTGAAGAATACGTAGTTATTTACACGTTACCCTAATCAGAAATATTATTAACACTGTTGAAAAGATAGAAGTACAATCTTTTTAAGTTGTTATTATTTATTGGAATTTTTGGACGGTGAATCTCTGCATATGTAATGTAGTAAATATGAATTCTACGCTCTAATAGGAACACAATAGTTTGCCCCGCCCGTGCCAGTTCTCAAATAAATAACATGAAAATCACAGTGGTTGTGCAAATTTTATAGCAGTTTCGGAAAATGCAATCCTCCTATTGTTCTTCGTTATCGTAAAATGTAATTACATTTCCCATGCAGCATTAAATGGTATTAACAGATTATTGGCACCGTCCTACTTAAGAATCTCTTTGTTTTTGACTTTCTCTATCCTTTTCAGTGTAATCCTGTCCTTATTACCGTTTGTAGTACGCGTAAAACAAACAGGATTTACTTAGGAACCAATTCATGGCGATGTCACGTGATCGATAATAATATTTGATGAGAATACATTGTATTCGTTTATACTGCAGGATTTTCTGTCAATGCATAGCGATGGGCCAAACGAGAACAGAGCCCTGGTCATTTGGAACATATTCTAGAGAAAAGTTTTGTTCTAGGTGACTGGAATTTTTGGGTACAATCATACACAAACATAAGCTCAAGTATTGAACAATTTTTCTTTATTTTCGTTGGAGTAATTAAGAAACGTGGCGGTTTTGTTTTTGGGGGGTATACAGAATACGCCTCGTCGCCATCCGAAATTTGCCCTTATTTAGTGACTAGAGCTGTTTTACACATAGTACAGAGTAGTAACTAAAGTTTATAACAACAAGAAATTATAGCTGCACTCGGTACATAAGATAATGTCGTGTTCACCTACTAAAAGAAAAACAAATAAAAAAGAAATGATATCAACAAATAAGTGGCATTTTTACGTCATGTGTGGCCTCCTTATGTCACGAACAGGATCAAAACAAAGTTTACTTGGATCAAAATATCTGGGTCGGTTATGTGTATTTTTTAGCCTTTTGTTTGCAAAAATGTTTCGGTAAATACAATTGTTACTTAACGGCGAATATTAATGAGTATTAAGTGAGATTGATTCATATATGAGCCCGTCTATCGTTTACCCGCTTAGAAAAGTGACACTTTGATGGCGAAACAACCCCATTTCCTCTGTGTGTTTGAATTATTGACTGCCAATTGTCGGGAGTCCGCTGAAAGCGTTTAAATGGTTGACCACTTTATAAAATCCGTGATATTTATAATTTTTGTCATGAATACAAATGATAAATGAACCAAACAAATATGTCCTATGTGATTCAAGACTATTAAATCACGTAGTAATGTTTATTCCTGCTACAGCATCATTGCAATATACTACAACCCAACTGCATTGCCAACAAACGCGAGTGACATTTGTATACCTTGATTTCAATCCGTGATGCAGTGAATGTTTCGTGCAACAACGCTAATATGGATGTTTTGAAAGCAGTGAATTTGAAACGCACCCTATAATAATAAGTCGTATACGTCTTATTAGACAAACAGTGTTGACAAAATTATCCCCTTGTACGTTCTCGTCCTAAAACAATTCTATATTTGAAATACATGGGTTATAATTAAGATCACACATCGGTCATACCTTAGAAATTGCAAAGGTGCCGGTAGCATCCTGCGGTGAATAACACAACGGAGTTTCAACCCAGTTAAAACAAACAACTCCACGGGAGCATTCGTATTTTCATGTTATTTCTCATGGGTAGTATTTGTATTTCGCTTTATTCAATTTTTAGAACAGTAAACTGCCATTCATTGTCTTTATACATATCCCAAACAAAATAAATCAAAATATACTACAATGGCTGACATTATTTATCAAAAACCTATGCATCAATAATTTTCTTTCGACGAATAGCAAAGATGTCGTTTACGGGTAGGGGATTTCAGTAATTTTTTTCAGTGAATAGAACAATATGACGTGATGGTCATTAAATTTACCGCCATTGATCAGGCGAACAAGTACACAATTGTGCGTTTATGCAGGCGTCTTGCAGTCGGCTGCAGGTCAAAATCATCGTTAGGTATCGCCGTGATGCGGCGCGCGTCGTCAATTACAATTACTGAAGAGGGGGTGTTGCCGGCGATACGGCTCTATCGCTCATTGTTTTATTGTCACTAATGTCGGTAATGAATGCTATATTGAGATCGTAAAAGGTCGAACGGTAAACTTTATTGTAAATATGTGGACAGTATTGCGGCGATGATCTTGCCGATAAACCTTTCTATTATTTAGCATTCGCACCCTTTAATCATCAGTCGTAGTAGAACTTCCCATTGTCACCTGCTTTGTGTAAGATTGTCGTTTCCGCTAATTAGCGGACATCTAGTGATCGCTTTATGCATCGGAAAGTTGGTTATGCAAGGTGATTGGTTTGCACAGACTAAAATCTATAATTCAGAATTAAACCAGTATGATTACATTCTGAACTCACAAGTCACATTTTCTATCAAAATCAACAATTAAATATTTGTATGAAAAACAGGCTGTCGACCCTATTTGATCAAAATCCATCCACCGCCGTATGTGTATACAACATAGACAAAACTTATTCTGGTAAAGAATCGACCTGACTTTAATGATTAACCATGTTTCAGACGATACTCCCGTGACTGTGGGAAAACATGACTGATGATATACGTGACGTCCCAAAGGCATCATAAAGTATCATTTGGATTTTTACAGTTCGAAATATAACAACGGACCACTGTTTTGCATTGTATATGTTACGATATGTAAAACCATAGCTAGGCTTGTCTTCTAATAGATTGATTGCGTACTAGATGGACAATATAAAAGAGTAGAAGGCCGCAGTTCAAAATATGTAACAATACCTTACTATTTCTTAGTTTTATTATTAATAGTTTTAATTTGTAATCAGGTTAAAAACTGAAAATTTGAGTAGGATTTAAATCAGTAGCGTAAATATCATTCATTGGTAGTTGAAGTATGTTGATTAGATATTCACGGTTCAGGCTAGCCTCGTTGACGATTGCTCTGTATGTATGTATGTTTATTCGTCTTCTAGGTTTTTAAACCTTCGCCGTCTTCAAATTAACAGTAACGATGATTTGAAGCTAAGGAACAACTTTTATCTTGGTCCTATATATATCAGAAATACAACGCCACGGTGGTAATACTGAAGAATAAAATTAGTGGAAATTAAAAATTTTCGTCTGATTATAAGTGAGCGTAAGTCGTAGATTCGTTTTCTTTCTTTTGCAAGTTTCGTAAATAATTAGAATAAATCAGTCTTAACTGTTATTGTCAATAGAAGATAATATATATGAATTTAGAAAATGTTAATCGAGCGAGTGCGCTTCAATGAATTATGTTCCTAGCCGTTGGTCGGTGACGCAATCTTTTTGTAGATGCATTTCTCGTAAGTATAATAAACAAGCAGAGCTTTTTTTTCTTTCGCGCGTCGTCGAGTGTCAGAAACATCGCTAAAGTGTCTGAACGCAAATATAATCCGCAGTCGACGCTGTTGTTCTCGCGGGTACGGAGTGTCTCGTATCGGGAAGGTGAGGTTGGAAGGTTTAGTTGTAGTTTAGTAATTCTTGTGATAATAACATTTTAGAGATGACTGGTTGTAGGTTTTGTAATCAGGAATTTAAAGTTATACGAAGAAATATGAATATTTGGCAGTGCCAGCCTATTATGGCTTACACAGTTTTTCTAGTATACATATATCATGTGAGGTTGTATCTTTTCAGCGAAAGCGTTAATTAAGGCATGCGTTCCGTAATTTTTAGTCTGTACCACATTTCATGCTTTAGGCCGTTTCATATGGATTGTATTTAAAAAGTCACTTTTTGTATGCTTTACGATAGATAGTTTTTTTTGGTATACCAGTATAGTGATCGGTTACCGTACTACGCAAAAACTGATGTTGTATTTCGATATTCGACATGGTTGAATTAGCTACATAACTGGGCGCAATAATGATATGATTGATTCGGTACATACTGGATTTGATAAAAGCTCGTTATGCCACATATATTTGATTAATTTTTTGATTTCTTTGACATTTAGTCCATATTGCGTAGGTGTGTTTCAGAAATTTGTAAACCTGTGGCATTATGACGTTTCATAAAGTAAATAAGTAACGCTCGTGTTGACTTATAGTATCTAACTGTCTTATTATCGGTAATAAACAGGCGCTTTTACACCAACTACATGGAATGCGCGGCAGGTGGTCTCAAAAGTTGAGCTGTCGGATAGAACTTCCTCCAAGACCACCTGCGATATGAGATAAGAGGAAAGTAGTACGCGGTAAAAGCACCGACCTTACAATTATTTCAGGCAAATAGTGCTAACGTACTGAAGGTATTACGTTTTTTGTAGTAATGTATAGTTGGGATCACTATAAAAGTAATTGTATTGTATTTTAGTCCGCAAATGTTGGTTTGTCTACAGTTCTATGTGGAAGGATATTCATACTCTAACGTTGTTTCTGTTTATAGAAAATTAATTTTATTGATATCAATTATATACGAACTAGCTGACATCTAAGTGGCAGAAAAAAGTACGACGAACGGAATATTTTGGCAGGGTATACCAGTTAAAATTTGACGCCATCATGGCAGACAACGGTGTGATGATGTTCGTGATTTCGATATTCAGCAGTATATTATTTATCACGACGAATGCACAAGTAGATAGAAGTAAGTAAACAAAGTAAATCTACAAACTAGGCCTGTTACTGACTGATTTTACCTCTTAGATTGGTTCTATGATACCTCATACATTACAAGGTGTTCAAGTGTCCTACACCGATGAAGTGTATTATCGATTCATAATCCCCAAGTTTCCAATTAAAATGTACATGAGAATGTATCGATTTTGTGAGAACACCTTGCAGGTGACCGAAGTCGTCATCAAGGAACAAGCTGTAATCCGAAATTGATTTTGTAGTAATTCGGGCAAATATACCTAAATAAAAGTCGCCGTTGTCGTTGGTATATATAGATCGTGGAAGTAGACCTGAGATATTTCTACGATTTCGAAAATTCGCTACTCACCCATTTCTTTTACATCTGCATATTTGGGCCTCGGTATTATATCCTTATTAATGCATTATATTTTCATCTTTCGTGACAAAGTCGTATTGATTCTAATGCCAATATTCCTGTACTGTATAATATAATCTTATGACCATGTCATGTATATGTCAGATTTTCGTCGCAAAAAAAGTTTCAATCTATCCATACGTTGATGTTGACACGAGCTAATTCAAAAATATGACAATGTGGTTTTTAAAACGTGTTTAAATTTGACTATTTACGTCAAATTCTAATCACAGATTAATTTCTCAGTTTCAATTGTGAAACAAAAAGCAATTTTCTCAGAGATATCAGAAGGTTACGCAAGGTTTAGGAAATACACATCTGTATTTAATTAGAGGCCACCAGTACCAATATCTTTGCAGCGTGTCGGCGCCACCTCGTCCCGTCAATTTTGAATATCGAAAAAATTAACATTGGTGCGATTAAATCAAGGTATCGCTGTCATTCTGCCTGTAGACGGATTCTTATTGGATACACATTCGTTATATCCATCTCTGTCTATAATCTTTTTCCAATGCCCGTTTTACTTCTTAGATTCTGACATGCTCTTGGCTCAGACTCAGATATATGAATTGTAGTCTCGGAGATCAAAACAACGTGGAATGTGTCTTATATTTGATATTATCACGTATTAATTACCGATTACCCAAGTTATGCAATTGTATATCCGTCATCAAGAGTCGGGTTCGCCGACTGTTAACAGTTCATTTCGATAATAACGCTATGTTTGCAATCCTCCACTACAAATAGCGCCCGAATCGCCCAGGTAGGAAGGTATCAACCCAATGCCTCTGTTATGCCGTCAATCATACATTGATCGTTCGGCGCCAATTAGTCAGTCTTTGTTTATGGTAAATGTATAATGAAATATATTTTTATTTATATCACTCAAACTTATTTTTGCATTGTTGACAGTGCATTGCCGCAATCCCTTGGGTATGCAAGACAAAAGGATACCAGATGACCATCTGGAAGCATCGTCATTTCATGCGAGAGGGACAGGACCAATTTTCGCGCGGTAAGATAATTTTAGTCTTATTAAATATGCTAATACTAAAGTATTGTCTATAGTGGTACTTTTAGACGTTATTTCGATTTATCTGGAAGTATATATATATATACATACACAAATGCTCATAACAATAAGTACGGTAATTGATCTCACAAAACGCAACCAACCGTGCAAGTTATGTCTGAATACTTTCGAATGAAAAACAGCACAACAAGTGTATGAGGGTAATATCATTCGTTCATCCTCAGCCTAATATCATTATCTGTTTTCTAATACCTAAAAGAACTTCTAATTTCCCAATTGTCACAATGTTTGTACTCCAAACGATGGCAAATGAAATTTGAAATATGATATGTTCCGATTCTCGCCACATTTTACGCTTTCGTGGGAGCCAAACAGTTATCTGCAACTTTACACCGGTCAAGTGGTGAGGAGTATGAACATACAAATAGAAAATCATAACAATCTATATCCCTGGTTTCCTAGCAGTCAAAATCGTCGGCTCAATTTGGACATGGAACATGCTTGATGAGTGGTTCGAGCACGCAATGCGCACCGCTTATAGACAGACCTGTACTAAGATCCCTTTTCGATCATGCAAACAATTGTAGAATTTCGTGTCCATGAATAGAAGAATTGAACCCTTTTGTTCAAGTACAATAAAAATGAAAACGAAAGTTCAATATATGTCAAATGAAATATTCACTTGAACTAATCGTAATTTTTCAAAATAATCGCGGGAGATTGATGATATTGTATCGTCGGACGAAAAGTATGGTATCAGTGTAGAATTAATTCATGTTCTTTTAATTTCACTAACCCAATGAAAAATATTTTATATACTTGTCAGGGATTAGATTAATGAACGCCAAATAAAAAGCCTATTTTTTTGGCCTTAGCAAATTGCATATAACAGAACGCTCGGCTCCCAGTCTGATATAGGATATTATTCCATATATGTACACGGAGAATCGCAATTGTAAAATCAACGGACCATATCGCCAAAGCAAATAACAATATAACCTTTTATGAATCGTTTTGGTACGTTATCAAACCATCGGGAATTGTGAAAGATTAGCCTATTGGAATTTGCCAAGCCTGTGAAGATAAACTGGCAATTCGCCAAGTACGGATCACATGAAATCACACTCTTCCCACGCTTCTGATAACAGTAAAACATTCTATTCTGTTGTAGAGTGTGTCGCCTTGATTTGTCGTGCCCTCGATAACCGTTTATCGACCAAATTTTCAAAGTGACGTAATCCATTCATGCCCAACATTCGGCACAGTAAAGTAGAGTTTTATGTTTTATGTCGTATAAATTTTCATAGCGGCTTGTACCGGGCAACGGAGGGTGCGTAATTCGAAGTGATAGCCCAGTGAAAAAATCAATATTCGCTTAATAACAAATATCTTAGCACCCGATTACCAAGAAAAACAATTTTTTCTTCGTAAAATCGATGAAGAAATCAGTTTAAAATCATTTGTGTTTTATGCACAACCGAGTATAATGAATCATGACGTACGACTTCTTTTTCGACATTCCGTCTTTACCTTTCTTGTCTCAAAAAGCCGCGTCGTATTATATTTTGAGTTGAAGAGTTCGCCACGACTTTTAAAAACTAATTCACGGATTGCTACTGTTGTAATTCAAATTTCAACTGACTATACTCGCGACACAAGTCTCCAGATTTGAAAGCCGTTCGCGAATCCATCACCATTCGTCTATTCGTTTACTGTCACGTTTTTTCTTTTATTCGTAAAATTTTTATGCCGATAGATATGCAAATCAGGCGTAAAACATCTGTTTATGTCAACGAATTGTTTGTGTTGTAATAGATGAGTCTTTCTGGATTAACATGACTTTTTTAAATATACAGATAGTGCTTGAAAATCTTTTGATACATCGTGTATTTCATGCTATACTGTTCGATTCAGTAGGGCCCGTGAGTAATTTACTCAATGCAAATATTCCTCCTCTAACAACAGGTTATTCGTGTGTGCTTTGTACTAATTAACCAGTTTTACTTTATCTATGCAGTAATGTTCACTGACCTTCAGACCGCATGTCGAGATAAGGTTGAATTATAAAGAGCTATTTATTATATGTTCAGTCGAGTTATGTTAACTCGTTGTGCAAGTTCATATTTCGACTTTGCAATATCACGTTGCATTGTTGCAGCCATTTCGAGCTTGATGATTTCATCAAATGTTCAGTACAGATCGATGATTTGATAAACAGGACAATTATGAAATTGTTGCCATACGCACGCTCGTCATTACACATTAAATTAGTTATATGCCTCATCATCTGCGAATTGATGACAATTTACTTTTTGCGATTTTTGTATATCTCCGTAGTTATCAAGTCGACCGTCGGCGGATAAACAGACGTATTTTATCGTTCGCGTAATACGAATTTATATACATGTGCGAATGTACCGACACAATTACAGCTTCAGGGAACTTCACTCAATTAGTTTTATGTCATTTTTCGGTGTAAATTCCCATTTTCAAAACAAGCGTTCACGCCAGTTGTTTGCTTTTGCAATTTTCTGTCGTTATTCGACACCACTGACGACGGTAAACCTACCCCAAAGGAAGGTCACCTGCTAATGGTCAGGTTAGAACAAGATCTAACAGAGAATAAAGTACCGAAATTCCATCATCATCATTTAATACAAAAACATGGGCAATATATGTATGGGACATGGAAGTTTGCTTTAACCATTGTACCTACTTGGTTGTTCGATATAATATTACAAGTCTTTGCCGGATTTATCTTGTTTTTGGGCGGTATTGTAGTTGTAACTAGTAATCTTAAAGATAAAACGAGCGCGCAAAATCACCTGTAGTTTTTTGCCTCGAAATCGGACGACCGTACTTTAGTTACCGGTAGTTTTCGATATCGATTATATACACCCTTATTTAACCTTTCAAAAATGTTTTTCAAAGAAGATTATCTGTAATTGGGATAATATCTTGGTTGGGTTTATATGAATAGACGGATTTCTGTTAAAAATGTTATTTTATTTACTTGTATTTAGCTCGCGAAATTTACCATAATTTTAGGTTGTAAACAGCGAAATTATAGTCGACCCATTTTGAGACCAAAATTACAAGTAATTCGGGAATCTAAACCAATTTTTAGCGTCTTAGTTATTTTTATGTTTTTGATATTATCTATGGATTTCAAAGTGGGTCGTTTGGCTTAAATGGATAAAAAGTAAATTTCCCTTTAGAGAAATTTTTCGGTTGACCCGCATTTCGTTTGCCACACAGCGGGACGTTTTAAATAAAACCTTCACGAGCGTCGATTGTCAACTGAATTTGACGCCAGACTATTGTTTGCTTTATAGACACAATTCTATTTATGTGGCGTTAGTCAGTTTAATGAAACCCTTTCGTGAATTTGTACATTTTGCTATAGATCTACAAATGGACCACGTATCTGAGTATTTGATGGAATTAAAGAAATCTAGGTATTTTACCCTGCGTTCAAAGATCATGTACAGTTTTAAGATTTAGAAATTGGATTGCTTTTCGAAAAGAACCATGCACGCTTATCTATTGGGGGCACACGGTAAAGTAAAGTACCTTTTGCACACAGCAAAGTACTTGAAAGATATTTCTTAATATACCGCCTAATGTAGGAAATCCTTATTGATTCCAAATCCTAAATAAAGTCGCTTCATTAGCGATTTGGTCAAGAAGCTAAAACGATTTACAAAAGTAAATCTCCCATTTTCGCCGCTTTGAAATCATCTTTATGGCTTTTATCGACTTTTCAGTCGTAAATGGGATGAATAAACAGCTTAATATCACTGAAATCAATTTTTGATCAAATTGCGATCTCATAAAAAAGATTTTAATGTCTTTATGTTGGGTGAAACACCTTCCAAGGAGCCGCACACCTTGCGCACCTACATGAAAGTACATTCAATGTATTTCTATTTCGTAAAGTCAATTATTTGAAATGAGATTTCTTACTATTATTATTGCGTAAATTGTTTTGTGAATTTTCATTCTTTGCAAATCCATGATTTATAATGTAATATCTCCAATCTTCTTAAACTACTGTAACTCGATTTTCAAACAATCTATACCTTTGACAAAACTCTTCGCTCTATACTAGTATAGTACATTAAATACGATTATAAAGAGACCTGTATATCGGTTGTTATTGTGTATTTTCAAACATTTTTGCTCTCTTTTATCCCTGGTATTTTTTGTTTTCACACGAATATTGTTATATTTGTTTGGGACAAACCACAATTTAATTTCCCTTTCCTGTCGAGCCTTGTAATTCTTCTCGGTAAAACAAAATACGATAAGTGAGAATTCACTCTGAAATGGCTTGTAGTGTGTTTTTAATGGTAATTTTCGAATCATCGAATTTCTCCATTATACCTCGGCCATAACGAATTTGTAATTATCACGCCGGTTACCGCATTAGAATAGAATCAATTGATTGTCAATATGAGATGGGTTGAAAGTACATCTTTGTCTTGGATGGATGTGAAAAATTTTCCTTGCTTGTGATGTCATCACATGACGTCATCATATAATAAAACATCAAACAAATGAAATAAAGTATAATCTGGAATCGTTTGTACACAAATTTTGTTAAACTTTTCTCGTGGCAACACAAACCTACAACCTAATTTATTTTGGAAAGACCCAAGTATACTGTATGAATGCTAAAAGAGGATATATCAAATACATTTATTCATTTTGAGTTAATAAAACGCTGAGCTTGATCAAGCATTGTCATAGATAAGCCGTGTATAATTTGTTGAGCATTCAACTGAAATGTGATAGCCCTTATAAACCCATTATCTAAATACAGTGTTAGATCCGATATTGTTCCTTCCCAAAATGAAAAATGGATAAACCACGTCTAGCGCACTCGTTATCAATGGACCATCAATGGGCAAAGTGTACATTTATAATTAATTATTTTACTAACCCAGTTTGTAGTTCAGATCATAACTAGTTAAGGTCTTAAGGTTAATTCCACTCGCGACTAAAATAGGTGTAACATGACACACTTTCAAAAAGTTTTATTTGTAAATATCTCTCGCTTTTATCATCTTTTACGATGAATCAAATTATTTATAAATATTGAAATTTGCAGGCCATTAAAATCATTTTATTGAGTGATCCCTCCATCTTAATTGATGTGAGAGCTGTATTATGTACGCGAACACCAATTTAGAAACAAGGGATTTGGCTTTCGATTCCTGTAAATGGTATAAAACAGGGAAAAGTTTGCGGCTCTATCTTCTATAAATCCCAGGCATTATGTGTCCTTATGGGTTTCTAGAAAAAAAAGGAGCGAATATTGATTTATTCAAAAAATATATATTTGAAAATATTACAAAGAAATAGGTGTTATTCAAGCAAGTATTTTATTATAGTTTGAAGCAATATTCATCAAAATATTTCAATAGAAAGGAATCAAAAATATATGTTTTTTTACTTCTCGCAAAACAGCTTTTCTATATTTTCGCCCTTTTGGGTAGAAACACTCAGAAAATTGCTGTTAGCGAAACAAACACTTTCTCCCAACTCGATAAACAACATCAACCTAATGTTCCTGATTCGAATGATTCACTCTTATCGTACAGAAGTACTGTAATGCGAGAGATTAATGACGATTTGATACGTCATTTCGACCAACCTCAGCGCGTTCGAATTCCAATCTCGGCGGTATATTCCCAAAGGAGATTTAGCGTCGCCATTAAAAATCGCCCACTCTCAGCATGACTCTCCCTGATAAACATTCTTTGTAATTGTTTGAATTTTTGTCTACGCTAACAATTTCAAGCAGGTCGATATTCGTTAGTCAGCAACTGGTCCACACCCATTTTTTTGTTTATGCCGGCATCACTTTGGGAGTAAGATTGTGAATATCTCTACTTCACTTTAAAATATATTACCGCGAAATGACATTTATTTCAACTTTAATTTTAGATTGGAACGAGAAGAAGGCGACGGAGCGTGGTGTCCGAAGGGGGTGATTGACAAAGATGACAGAAGCCAGTATCTGCAGGTCAAACTGCCTTCTCTCAGTTTTCTGTCTATCGTCGCTACTCAAGGACGGTATGTAACCTTTAACCACGTTTCGAATTTTTATATGGAAGTGCGCGTGTAATCTTAATTCACTCATTATTAATATTCAATTTTTCAGCGATGCTGGCGGGGCAGGACAAGAATACATACCTAGTTACGCCCTGAATTACTCAAGAGACGGTATCACGTGGTTTCAGTGGAAAAATTATCGCGGTGTTTCGGTAAACATTACTATTTTGACTATTTGGTTACCCATATCTTACTCTATAGTCGGGGAATGTTAATGAGAATAGCATACGAAGATTTATATTTTATATCTAGGTATTGGAGGGTAATCAGGACCCCAAAAATGTCGTTCATCGGAAGCTTAATCCAGGAATACCTTCAGTCAGATATCTTCGGTTGATTCCAGTGACAACTCGCCCCAGATCAGTCTGTGCTCGTATAGAACTATATGGGTGTCCAATGCCATGTAAGTGCGATGTGACACATTCAAATGTTTCATTTTTATATTTTCAAGGGTTCAAGGTTCACAATTTTAAGATCAGTTTACGTAAAAGTAGTCCGATTTAAGTTGACCATGTATTTCCATTTTGTCATTTTATATCAGCTGGTGTTGTAAGTTATTCCATGCCCGTGCCTGGAGTACCGCTACAAGATGGCGACGAAGTTTCCAAAACACTGAACGAAAAATGGTCTTTTGGTGACGAATATTATGATGGTATCAGAGAAACTGAATCTTTCCATAGTGGACTTGGACAACTCACGGATGGAGTAATTGGCTCGAATAAAATAAACGAAGTAAGGACATTGATAAATTATTTCAGCATGTGTCTCATATATGTTGCATAATAATAAAGTTCTAAAGGATTTTCAGTATATATATTCTGTAATGTTCAATGCTAATAAAAATGCTAAATATTGAAGGTCCAATAATTCTTATTATAACCAAAAATAATTTAACACCGTCGGTACTATAGTATATTCGGATCCGAATGTGTCTGTTTCTACACGGATGCTTGGACGAGATGGTATTATAAAGATAAATAAATAAGAGTGTCATAATCTCTTTCCATGAAATAGCAAGTCTTGCTGACTTATCATCGAAAAGATTTTCCAACTAAACACTCATGGTTAAATTTTTAGACAAAATCATCAGTTTCTTCACGCAAAATCGGGTTTGATTACGTCGGTTGGCGTAACAACAGGCGAGGCGATCGTTATATCTCTCTTACGTTCAGTTTTGAAGAAGTCCGAAATTTTACTGCCATGAGAATTCATACACTGACAAGTGAAAACGTTGGGTCGAGGTAAGACAACCTTCAATTTTACAATCATTAGGGAAAAAATAGAGGTCATATTATTCCATACAATAGTAGGCGATTTCGAGATCTTTAAGAAGCACTCTTTATCACATTATGTCAAAAACAAACCCATTAGTTAAGTGAGTGGGGACAGTTTTTTACAAGCAGTTTTTAAATCATTGCAAAGGGCTGAGAAAAATACCTAGTTTTTGAACAGGCCATATTATATAGTTAGTTACCTTTACTTCAATTTTAATATGGTAAATATCCCAATATAAATATTATTCAACAAAATATATTAAGTGACAAATTAAAAGCATCAGCTGACACAAATTTTTCTGATAAAGCATAGTAACGTATTACCAGTTAATGTTTATTTTCACAACTTTTTTCGAGCAGGGTAGCACATAAAATTATTTGGGCGTAGTTTGCCGATCTCTCGACTGGATTCATCAGTTTAAATTATATAGATAAAAAAAATCAAATGCAAGGAAGCATTTCAAAATTCATTTATTTTCTCTTTCATTGTATTATAGGTTTTTCTCCAACGTGGCAGTAGCTTTCAGTCTCGACGGCAGAACATACCCAAACACACCTTATGCCAGTAAAGTTGCATATGACGTCCCAAATCGTGAGGGCGAAAACACCAGGTTTATTGAGGTCCCACTTGGACGTGCCATGGCACGTTATGTACGAGCCAAATTCCGCATTCGCGGAGACTGGATGCTGATCAGTGAAGTCGAATTTGTTGCCGGTAAGTGACAACTTTGAAGCATGGATTTGGCTTTTCATTTTATTTTGTTGTACGTCACGTGACTAAATGTTGAACGAGCATGGAGGTGAAAATATTTTGATTTTTTGTCTTTTTTGTAAAGCATGGATTACTTTCAACACCATTTGTTTAATAATAATTAAAACTGTTAATAATACGTTATACGTTATAATATTGTTTTTTAACCTGGAATTTATTGAATTTTGAAATTGAAATTCTGATAACGGGACATTTTAAACTATCAAGAGGCCACCATTAGACCTATTCAAATAGTAGCTATGGAGGTACTCAAGTTAAGTCGGAATATTAATATTGTAAAACATATGCAATTAGCTTTTCCAACCTTCGAATCTTTATACTGACATACCACATTATATTAATGAATGTCAATAAAAAGCAAACAATATACAGTTGTAAATAATGTATATTCAGTTTTGCTCTAACTTTATGAATAAGACAGATAGCAACCACTTAGCTATTCCGATACGAATAAAATTTTCAGTACACAAATATTGCATGTTTGGTGGTTTAAACCTATAAAAATTTGACGGTCATTTAAGTTTGTACTTGTGTCACTGGCCGGTGGATGAAGCGCTCTTAATCAGTCTATGGTGCGCTTTCCCAAAGGCTTGACATAAGCTCAAATGTAAAATACCAGAACAAATTTTTATATGTTATATTTTTGTTTGTTGCATGTCATTTTAATAATACAGAGTCGCTCACCAAAGATCCACATCCGGATTTAATGTATCCGGCAGTATCTACAGTTCCAGTTTTGCAACTTCCGGTTTTACCCACCACCACGGTTTTACCTAAATTGGACTTGAAAGTCGCCACTGTCATTGGTATGTCTTTTTTCCGGTACATGGGTGCCAATAAAATTACCCCGATAGACAATGTTAATAAGTACCAATTATGTGGGTATTTACCTGCAAACTAGTTTCGTGCGCAGAATATATAGTCTTGTATTAGAATAACAGAATGGAAATCAAGACTAATAATGTATTTTTCACAGTTGGCATTTTATGGTTGAATGACCACAAAAAATTTCATTAAAAACTGAATTTGCATGGATTTCATTCATTTAACATACGTTTCTGCATCGTGTGATTTTTCATTTGGTGTTTTTCATTTCGCCTCCTTGAATTGAAAATATTGGTAACAATGGTAATATTGATCATGTATTGCACTCATTCCACTTGTGTTGCACTGTTATTTATTCACTTTTCAATACAAACTAAATTCCTACTTTTTGTACTAACTTTTATTCGATTTAGGTAAAGTTTCAAGTACTTTTGAGGCCGCAAATAAGGAAGCTCTTGATGGTGGTCAAAATGGAATTTCCACGGAACCAAGTGTCACGACTACTGAAAATAATAATATTATTATCATTGTTTGCTCACTGGCTGGAATAATAGCACTTCTCATTTTGATTGTCGTTTTTTTGGTGTATAGGCAACGAAGACTAAGAAAAACAATGGTAAGAAGATCTACAATTAATATTTCGTGAAATTAATATAAAATAATTAAAATAAGTTCTAAATTTGTTTTCTTTCTTACACAGTCACCACCCAGATACTCATACTCGGCCGCAACGCCGGCTGTACCGGGACCAAACCCGAATGTTACTCTATGTTTAACTGGTCAAAGAGCGGCCTTCACATCAACAACAGCCTGTGCTGTACCAATGCAAGAAAAATGCTCGGATCCACTTTATCACGAGGTAGGTAACTAATTACTTGTCAATTTTCCTAATGTGGCAGTTGTAGAAATATTCAGAACAGTGTGTTATTGGAAACGAAATGGACACATAGATCGCTCTGCTATTATGTTGTTGTTCTTCTTGGTATTCTTCGTCTTATCGTTATGAAAAAAATGCTTTTCTCTTTAACTTCTGGACCGATTGCTTTGAAATTTACAGTGGTTAAAGATTGTATTTTTGCTAGAAGGCTATTACTTTTTCGTGTCCATATATTTGAGCATAGCTTTCTTGTTGTATTATAGATTGCTGGAGGACGAGGCATCATGGCTCCCAATGTGTACTTGGAACCAAATGACGTGCTCAAACCAGGGCAGCGCATGCCGGAGGTGACACAATTGGCTCATCAATCTAGTAAGTAAATTCCTTAATGTCGATTGAGTTATTTCTTTGTACGCTACATTTTGTAATTTCTGTTTTCTAATTTTTGTTACAGTGGGTCGAGATCGACGATTTGAACAACCTGATGTAACGATGTGTGCTTCCGGAGTCAGAGACGGTGTAATGACTATTTCACACTACGCCGAATCAAATGTTAGAGCTCTTCCACCACCATATGCGACGGTAAAATATTAATGAACATCGATTATATCGCCAATGGCAATTTTCGCTGTTTTTTTTTCTGTCTTTCCGACATATGTATAATGTAATTATATTTATCTCTGCAGCCGCTACAAGGAGCATTTGGAAACAATGTATATGCTGTTCCGTGGACTTCACAATCGCCTGCCCCCACCAAAAGGACCAAGTATCTGTCTCCACCTAAATATACAGCTACTCCATCAGAAGCTTCTACACTTCTCGCTGACGACTCGCAGGACGGTTAGATATGTTTGTTCATTGTCTATTAGGTTACAGCCTCAACGAATTTTGCTTAGGAATCTGCCTTGTAAAAATCACAAATTTAGCTGTTTTAAAAAAGATTTTTGAATATTTAATGAAATACTGTTTAGTTAGACAGCTGCTATGGAGTATATACATAGCCCGAGTTATACACAATCGTCCAGACAGTAAAAACAGGGGGTGCCATCATATGATTTATTTACAGACGTCTGACGTGAGAATTCAAGAAAAAACTGCCCATATAAGGCTTTCTCAATTATAAAAGGAATAATAATACATATTAATATCTTGATGTAATAATAATTTGCAATAAACAATATTAAATACCAGACTTGTAAACGCATTCAAAACTATTTTGTTAACATTACTGTCGAATTGCTGATCGAAGAATAATTGTCTTCTTTAAATCAAGTTTATTGTATATCAAACGATACGTTGTCGAACATAAATCATTATTAATCAAGCATTAACCATACCTCACCATGCATAAAAAATACTTGATCAAGATTTATTATGTCTAACAAAGAACCATATCGAATTGCAATATGAAAAAATTGCGGGAGTGTTGTTTTCGTCTGTAGCGTTAATTGAATTCATAAATTCATGCCGCGACCAAGTTATTGCTCCTGATATTGAATTACGTTTACGTGTTGTAAACTCAGCGGAAACCTCGCGGCGAGACAATAGATTTGCATATTGCTTGTTGAGATATTTATCTCTGATTATGCTCGCATCCTTGATTGATGACTTCTCGTTTTGCAAACATTTTTCTGTAAGTAAGGACAAGATTCAGACGTTACATCACAAGATTACTAACTCTTTAACAACAAAATTAACTGGACTAACTTAATATTTACATGTAATATCCATGAATATATAAACCGTGAGGTGCGAAGACTTCAGTGATTATAAACTGAAGCCATATTCCCCTTACTGCTAATAGGATATGCTGTAATCGAACGGTTTTTGGAATGAGTATCACTATTTAACTTATCATTTTATACTTTCACAGATATAGCCTCCCAAAGTGTTATGTCGCAACGATGCGGAGAAAATGGCGCGGTTGAGTTTCCAAGAGAACGTCTGGAATTCGTCGAAAAATTAGGCGAAGGACAGTTTGGCGAAGTCAGGTTGTGTAAGGCTGACGCAAGTCTCAGACGATACGTTGAACAAGACGGGTAAGCTTATGAAATGTATTCTAATTGTTATTACCTGGCGAACACGATTGATATTACTAAATATTCATGTTTGGGACAAGTAAACAAGTCCTCCAATCTAACTAACCTCTTTCAGTTCCAATAGATAGCTGTATACACAGTTAAAACGTTCACTTATTTCGATGTTTAACTTATTAAATATTACGATTTACTTCAGAATATCAATCGACGGTAATTCAGATGAGCCGGTTCTGGTTGCAGTTAAAGTTCTCAGAGAAGATGCCACACCGAATGCAAAGTACGTCCTTAATGTAGATGAATCACATATGTACATGTTTGTGATATACATTCAGCATAAACTAGTAACTAGATATTAAGCCATATGGCGTCACCCAAAAACTCATTTTAAACATACAGCGATTAATATTATGTATATGCCAAATCGAAAATTTTTCTGACTTTGTAATTGCATTGACTGTTTATGTAAGTTACCGTTTTAGTAAATTCTTTTTTGGAGAAATAAACATTTAGTGAAAATTTAAATCTAACTTATAAACCTTTTTTTCATCAGGGAAGACTTTCTCAAAGAAGTTAAGGTGATGGCGCGACTTCGTGATCCAAATATAGTTCAACTTTTGGCAGTCTGCACGGAAGACGAACCGTTCGCCATGATCACAGGTTATATGGAAAACGGAGATTTGAATGAATATCTTAGAGGGTTTGACATTGACGAAACCAGCTACAGAACTCAGGAACGAAGTTCCGTTGACCAGCCAACTTGCAGTTCACAGTTGCCTACGATCAGGTTGGTTGTTGAACATTTTTTTGTCGGACACAAATGTACATATGGATTTTGCTAAATTCTTGTTGTTGCTGTTGGGAAAAATCTCCTTTCTTTGTCAATAATTCAAATTTTCAGTACTCATTAAAGTAGTCGGTAAAAGGATGACTTGTGTTTTGTTTCGATTTCTTCTACTTCTGTGGGATCTGACATTTCACTGAAAATGTTGCTGTTATATTTTAATTGAAAGAAAATGCTTTTTGATTCCGTATTGCTCGACCGGAGCTCGGATGCCATACCGGTTCCTATGTGATTAGACCTACCCGATAAATATAAACATTTTCGTTAATTTTACAGCCGCACAATTCTAATGAGCATGGCCGCCCAGATTGCAGCTGGAATGAAATACCTGTCATCTCTCAACTTTGTTCACCGCGATCTTGCCACCCGTAACTGTCTTGTTGGGAACGATCATACAATTCGAATTGCTGATTTTGGAATGTCGCGAAACATGTACCAAGGTGACTACTACAAAATTCAAGGAAAAGCCGTTTTACCGATCCGATGGATGTCATGGGAATGCGTCTTACTGGTAAGGAAATTTTCAAATACTTTTATGGCGCGATGTAAGGTTTAAATTGCTTATTCGGCATGCGAGAGGTATAGGCTCTGTTTAGTTTCCAGTGGTTTCTGTCGAATTGTTTCGAAGGAAATTTTCTTCAAATCTGAGAGAGTATGTCCTTGCTTGAAGGGACGAACAAATAAAACGAGATTGACAAACATCCAAATATTCTGATATATATATAAAGTTGAATTTTAGCACAAAATTGCTCGAAGCCAAAGTTGAGGTCAAGGCACATAAATATACCAAGGAAAGACAAATTTCCTTGGCTTTGCAACAGGACTATGTTGAAACATCTTTTTTTGTTCATTAACAGGGCAAATTCAGCACGGCAAGTGATGTTTGGGCTTTCGGAGTAACATTGTGGGAATTATTTACACTGTGCAAATGCCAACCATATCATTCTCTTGATGACCAACAAATCATTGAAAATATGCATCATATCTATCAAAGAACGGGTGAAGAGGTACGTATTGATGACGTCATGTATTACGTAATGTAATTTGATATTAAGAAACGTACATTTAAACAAATTATATGTTCAATTGTCGCCACATTTAAACAAATTCTCGTTTAGTATTGTGAAATATCAAAGATTAATTAAAATAAATTGTCTTTCAGGTTTATCTTCCAAAGCCCAAAGCCTGCCCAACCTCCGTTTTCAATATGGTCAAACAATGTTGGAAAAGAGAGTGCGATGAACGACCTGCCTTCGACTCACTGTATTCGTTTTTGAAGGAAAGAGTGTGATCTGTTCCAAACTGGCAGATGACCATATGAACTTATGAAAAATGGAGCATTGAAATTGCGACCATTCTAGAGATAGCAAACGAAAACTTTGTGAATGAAGTGGACGCAGCACAAGTATAAATGTACGAAGCGTGTGGACGAATTGCAATAAGTCTATGAAGCTAGAAATGTGAAAGTGTCCACAATACGTCGGAACTGAGATAGACATTGTGCGTTTGAACAAACAACGGTTACTGACTGGAAATTTTATGCTTCATGGAATCACGACTTTCGTTTTCATTTATGATTTTTTTCCTTTCTTTTTTTTCATTTATGTTCGAAAGTCGTTTTATGTTGTACAGCTACTTATTCTACATTCCAATTTATGAGATAGCATTTTTTCTTTCATTATACCTATTCGTACGGCTTATTATCTGTCATATATGGACTGATATAAATGTTCTTTGAACGATCTTTACGCCACGGATCATGCTGTTTAGATCCACTGTTTTGGCTTAGCGATGAGGCGTTAAGTCTCTTTTGAAACTGCCACTGATGCATGATGAAGATTTCGTCATATATATGAGTTACCCAGTATACTCATGAAATGTAAGACTCATGTAGAAGATGTCAACCCTCGTTAATATTGTCTTCAAATGGCGCTAGACTGTTTCATTTTCTTTTCCACCATTTGTGGAATTTGAACAAATCATTTTCAGTGAACGTTTCTTTATATTTATGTTTGAGCCTTTCCATGTTTCTTTTTATTTTGTTCTTCATTTCATCATATTTTATTTTTCGCACAAATACAAATTTAGCACACAATTTCAAATCAAATTCTAACAATTCTGTTATCAAACTCTATGGCAATATTATTTGAGGTCCGATATCAAGGATACAGGTCTGACTAAATGAGAACTACAGAGAGTCCTCGGGTTACGACGGTAGCGACTTACGCTGTTTCGAGGTTACGAACGCACTCCATAAAAAGATAATACTGTAGTGTAATATCTAAGCCCTTAAACTAGATCATTGTGATCAAGAAAATCAGTGCTTTGGGCTCATTAGTGATGTAAATGCCATCAGAGACAATTGTGAACTATTACGATTATGAACGAATAATCCAGTGGTTCTCAACCTTTTACTGACCGCCTACCACCTTACTGTTTTTCCCTATGGCCGCGTACCACCGACAAAGCTTCTTTTTTTGGCGGGGTGAAAAAGACACAAGAAACATGCTATGTGTGTATTTTATATTGTGGCACTACATCCTTTGTGGCGTAACACGCAAAACAAACAAAAACATGCTCATATCGCTTCATTTATTAAGGTATAGCGGACGAGGGCGATCTCTAAAAACAAGGCCTATAGCGCACCAGCGCTATAGACGTTTTTTTTTTTTCAACTTTTCGCCCTTTGTTATGGACTCAATGCGTAAAATCATATATTTACGGTAAAACAGATGTTTCTGATACAGTACGATATGTATAAGGTAATTTATGTACTGTACAGTATATTGTTTCGACTTACACTGAAATTCGGGTTACACCGCTTCTTAAGCTCCTCTTCAACTCGCATTTTGCGCAAACTTCGTATTAATCGGACCATAGTATTAATCAAAAAATGCCACATAATGCTGATAACACCTCTGATCAAATTTTGTTTTGTAAATTTAGGATTATATGACTTTTGCTATTGTTTAAAATACAGGAAGTCCTGGACTTACGACGTTGTTCCGTTAATATCGTCTGTCATAAGTTCATAACCTTACCTCCGTCTCTAAGATACCTTTCCTTATCAGCCTCCTACAAACCGCGCACACTCAGGAAGATTGGAAAATAATTTCTTCAGCGTACCAAATCCATGTCAATGTTAGTAATAAGCGACTTAAAACAGTGTATCAATTGGGAAAGGCCGGATTGGTTCGAGGCATCGCGAAGCATGCATTAGGTTTTCAAGGCACAGTCAGAATAACAGAATATTAGACTGGACGTACTTAGAATGCCAACAGACGTCAAAATCGGAATTTGATTACGAGTGCTAAGATGATAGCCTCAAGCTGTGGATATTAGACTCAAAATATATAAATCAAAATCACGTCCAAATGAATCGCGAACAGAATTACTCTTTGACAATATGACCCCCACTGTCTGAATCACTAGAGAAACAGACTTAAAAAGTTGGAAACAGAATAAGTCAGTGGTTCCCAACCGCCGGTCAGCATGAATCTTTCTTCCGGCCCGTGGAATATACCCCAATTGCAGAATGTGAGGGATTGATGGCCTGCCCATTCATTTTAATACCTGTTGATGCGTAAAACGACTTGGTCAGAGGTCCTACGCCCGGCCCCCAACGGCTAGATGACATTGCCACAGTTTTGAATATCCTCGGCTCAGTGACAAAACTACCAACTTGCTGATTTTCGTGTGGAAGTCAACGCTATCTTTCGCCTTACGAGACTTCATTACAACCGCGTTCAACCCATATGATATCAAAAAGACAGCACCAAATTTCTCGTTAAATTGAATTGCCTGATTTTAAATTGCATACTATTCCCGTAATTACATTAGTTTGATTGTTTCGTCCACAAAATTAGTTTTGAAATTCTACGGGTCGGCAAAAAAGGTTGAACCACTGAGCTAAAGGACTGTTGGCAGATTTCGCCAAACCGAATACGACACCATCCAACACTAGTAACGCAGCTAACTGAATGACAACGAACCTATAATGCTAGAGAACAAGTTTATTTCCATGGTTGTGTGAAATCAAAGGAACACGATGAAATAACTATATACATATTATCTTACAAAAGTTGGGCATTGAAATATAAATTTCTTGATTATGCACCAAAGATGGATTCTCGGCAACCAACAGCACCACGTTTAACAAAGTCTTATGACATCGGAAGTGCGTACAAGATACTCGTCTTCTTGTAGAGCGCGAACAACTTCATCGAACATAGCTTGAGTGATTACCTGTAAATATAGGCAAATTGGCGTTAAAGGTTTTTTATACTAATCCTGTGAGAAAGGAAAGTAAGACGGCCCAATACGCGGTGAACCACGGCCTCTTGTCTGGTTACCTGTTCATGTCGGTTATAAGTTAACCAGTTAATAGTTTCAGGTGCATGATGACAGAGGAAGCAATAACCGACGGGCAGTCACTGGACTACTCTGGATGCAAACCTACAAATCTGCGAGGGCAATGCCAGATCAGAAAATCAAATGCAAAACCATTTTTAATAAAAGCCTACCAGTAATATCTTTCATGAACACAGAATAAAAATCAAATATTTTGCCAAAGTAAACCTGAACCTTTATTCATTTTTACCTGATCAGCCTGGTTTCGCCATTTTTCAAGCAAGGGTCGACATTTAATGGATGGTCCTTTGCCTTTCTCTTGGTCGATCAATGATTTCAATGCAGCTTTCAATTCTTCATGTCGTTTTCTAGCAGTAGCACTAATGCCTGTGAACAATAATTTGACAACTAGGAAATTGAAAAACTTCACTAGTCACTCTGATTAAATCTGAGCAAACAAAAGCTGTAAAGTAACTGGTATAAGCAGAGATGTTATTCAATATTTTACACCAATCATACCGGTAGTTAAAATCGAAATATCAACGATTCCAGTCCTTGGATCAGTGGCTGATTGTTTGATAGCTTCCCTGTACAATCTCAAAGCTTCTTGAACATCATAATTTTCAACTTTATTAGAAAGCCTAATCTTGGCACGAGCCTCGGCCAGCCTAAAAAGTAAGAGAATGGTTAATAAAAAAACAAATAGTGGTGTAAATTTGTAGAACAAAGTGAAATATTACTGTGAATCTGAAGACAAATATGTCAGTTATTGTCATTCACACAAATTTAATAAAAAGGACTGAGAGAAGCTAGAGAGGTGCCAAGCTTACCATATTAGATGGAGCCGTAGCCAGAGCTACCAGAAATTTTAGTGGCTCCAGCTCCAAACCATCTAATTTTATTATCACATTTATACTTTTCCTATTCTAAATACAAGTAATGAAATCCATCCTTTTCAGCTTACAATCTTTTTTGATAAATTTCAGTTTCTAATATATTCAAACGTGTCTTCAACTCAAATTTAAATATTTCTAGCTTCCATTTCAAAATTTAAAACGCTTTCATCACAGTTTGGAGTCCTGCTTTCGAGAAACTGACATCCAACGTCATAAAAAATGAATCTCCGGACCTGAATCTGAGCCTGCATATACATTTGCCTGAGAATACATTTGAGACTGAGCATAAATCTCACTTACAACTAACTCACCTTATCAGGGATTCCAATTGTCTTGGATATGCAGTTACATTTCCACCGGCTGCTCCACCTTTTCTCATTTCAACATAAGCTTGAACCAAGGACTGACTTGCTTCTTCACCAAGACGAGGTTTGATGTAAGTTCGGGCATATGTCAGGTAGTTCTGAACACAAAAATTTAAATGGATTTTCAAGTACAATTTTGTTCAGAACCTAAATCTGTAGTAGGTATTTCTATTAAAAAACAAGATTCATTTCGAAATTGATTTTATTTTACACTGCCTAAGTAGAGATGCTCACAGCAATCAGTTTAATCTGAAGCAGTGGTTTTTCAGCCTTTTATTCTCTTGTGGCCTATTTTCAGCATCAAGAGAAATCTCAGACCCACAAAACCTTTGGTAAAAATCTTAAGTAACATAAAAAATTTTGTTTTATCAATACAGTAAAAGTGTCAATGGCCATACTAATTCTTGCATCTAGCGACCATATGAGACCATGTTGAACGTCATGAAAGCAAGTGAATATGTCTGAACTTAATAGGTGTAACATACCTTCAATATACTCATATCCAAATATTCAACTTCTGCATCTTCTGGACTTTGATGATACAAACCAACTAGATGATTGGCGAGTCGACGATCAAATGCTTCATCTTGTGGATCGAGGATCAGAAATATCAGATCAAATCTAAAACAATGTTGTATCTTAAGTTTGATAACAGAACAATTCTCAGATATTTTCAAAACCCTTAAAGTTAGTTGTCAAAATTCTGAAAGTCTCATAGTTGGAAGTCGAAATTTACAGACTCTCAGTGGTGATTAAAGAAGTCCAAATTCATACGGAACTCAAGAAGATTCAAGTTTACTAAGCTTTCTTAACAGTATCAGGGGAAGCTTGCATACAACAATTCCCAGAATTGGATTGTTTCGGGTTTTAAGCAGGAGTCTGATTCAAATTTTTCATTCTCACAGACGAAAATCCTGAGTCGTAGTCTGAGCCAAATTTTTGTAATCCATAGTTATCCTCATCTGAATATGCAAAGCAGCTGTTGAATTCTTCCTATCGAGCAAACTCAAATAATCTGTGTTTGTACTTAGTAGAATTTTAACCCTAGTTGCAAATCAAAGTGCAGTATCATTGTAGTGCAGTTTTGCATTAGATTCATGGATCTCTCATCCCCAATTTTGTTATTTCGGTGAACTGTCAAGGGAAATAAATTGAGTTAATAGCTAAACAATGCAAACCTTGACAACAATGTGTGAGGCAGCATGATGTTTTCGATGATTGTTTTACGATGATTCCACTGAGATTCGCATGGATTAGCAGCAGCAAGAACACATGTCCGAGCATTCAGTTGGCAAATAATTCCAGCTTTAGCGATGGAAAGCGTCTGTTGCTCCATTACTTCATGTAGAATTGATCTATATTGGGGTTTTGAAAAAAGAATGCCGTAAAACTGATACTTTTTGCAGAATGTCAGTTAGTAGTTAAAGTACGTAATAATCTTAAAACTAAAAATGAAAAATATAGTTAATGTTGTGTTTTTAAAAAACAGAAAGATTTTGGATTTCTGACAACAGAATTAAAAACCACCTAAATAATATGGACATATATTTTATCAAAATAAATTATAAAATTGGAGAACCAACCCTAAAAAAAATGAGTCAGAGATAACTAAGTGGGTTAACTAGAAATAACAAAAGTCATTATACATATTCAAAAATCCAACTGAGGAAACTACCTTGTTCCATCACTCATTTTATCAAATTCGTCAATGCAACAAACTCCATTATCACTCAGTACCAATGCACCTGGCTGTAAAACCAACTGTCTGGTATCTTGATCCTGTTAAAGAAAATACAAAATTCAACCAGTGCTTTTCAGCCATGGATCCGAGGAGGGTTTCATGGGTTATTGTGGATATGTACATAAATACTTCATTGAGAACAAATGGACACACAAATTGTCTGTGAAAGGACTGCAACAGCAGAAGGGTCATTGAATTTCTGAAATGAATTTAAAACCTGCCTTCGTAATATAAGCAGTTAATCCAACAGCACTTGATCCTTTTCCAGACGTATACTGACTCCGTGGCACCATGTTATGAACATATTGCAGAAGCTGAGACTTGCTAGTACCTGTATGTTAGAAAGCAAAGCAATGTTACATGTACGTTGTTGAACTGAATCCATGATACTTCGTAAAATCTAACTTTACTAGTTTAACATTTTTATCTAAATTTTAATTTATAATATATTTTAAGTTTCAAGTTGATTTACATATTTATAAGTCCCGTTTTATGAACAATATTTACAGTGTTACAAAAGTGGAAAACAATAAGCCTCGTGCCAAAACTAAATTCAATCGCAATTTCAACAAATTCATTGAGCTATTTTTTAGCTAACATATCAAAATTTGTTTGTAGTTTGGTTGTGGCAGCATCGGGCGGGCCAGATTGGAGTACCCAATGGGTGGTAGTTTGCCCATGCCAGTTGTAGAGTCTTACCTGGATCACCACACAATAGAACATGCAGACAATCTCTGAAATGTCCTCTCCCAGCAGCAGTTAGTTCTTTCTGTGTTCCACCAAACAATTGCAACAAAATTCCTTTTTTCACATCGTCGTTTTCATAAATGCTCGGTGCAATCGAGCATGCAAGTCTGTCATAAATATCAGAGCGCTTTGACAGTTCTTTAATCTGATCAATCTGTTCTTGTGAAAATTTGATGACTTCATCTCCTTCGTCGTTAGTGACTTTAGTTTTACTGTCCTGCAAATATGATAAAATTTAAATAAAGCTAGATATTGATACAAGAGATTTCCCTTGATCTCTGAATCTACATTTTTTTAAACAATATACAGGGTGAGCCCCCCAAAAAACAAAACCCACAAATTCATTTTCGTCATAGTAATACAGAAAATGTATTTGAAACTTCTGTTTGTGTATGACTATATACCCAAGGCAAAAGTTTTAGTAATTTAGGACAATTTACACAAAATTATGTTTTCTCTAGAATATGTTCCAAATGACTTGAGTTTGCATAAAACAACTAGACTAAATATGAAATAAGTGTGGGGAAAACTTCAAAAATTATAATTTGAATAATAAAATAGAAGACTAGCCTTTTTCTGAAAATGCAAAACATCAATGTGCGTTTTATACACAGCTTTCACATTCCGCATTCTAGGATTGTCTCTAAAAGGTTGAGCTCTGTAAATCCCAGTCACAATCACTCTGTCTCCTGGTTGTACAACATCAACCACATCACTATAGGCATGTAAAATAACAGAATGTGGGGTTTGTCCAGCTGGCATGTCATCCGGAGATTCTTGAAGTTTTACCATTTGTTTGTCGGTGAAAAGCGAACGATTATGGATGAGACTCATGCTGAAAAGAAAACATTCGTTAAATTTGAAACAGTAATATAAGGCCATCTTGAAGCTTGAGAGATTACATAGAATTTCAATATCAACCTAAAAATAAGTTCAGTTGCAAAATTCTTTCAAGCCTTCAAAATATTGATAATTTTTGAGGCAAACTAGTGAACTACCAATCTAAACAATAGACAAAATTGATTTAAAATGCCTCATTTTTAATGTAGTTTTGAGCATGACTAAATTATATTAGTACTTTGCATTTCTGCATTAAAATATAAATAGCATTAGATCAGGGATGGGCAAAATACGGACCGCGCTAACGACCCCGATTGTGACATTGTGCTTCTTGTTATTATATAAACGTTAGCCTAGCTGTTGTAAATAAACTGTTATTTATTCATACTTTTCATAGTTTTGAGCCTCCGGCCCAGTAACCAAGTCTATTATTATCTTTAAATGATCTAAGTCTACAATCTGTAACTGGCCCACTCAGAAAAGTAATTGCCCACCTCTGTATTAGATGAATAGCTAGCTATGAATTTTAAAGAAATTTATTACATTTTTTCACCTTAAAGTGGCTGCAAATCACAAAAAGGTATTGGAAAATACTGAAAACTCCACCTAGAACAAACCGGTCATGTATGCCAGGAAGAGTTATCATCATCAATATGCAATATATTAATAAATTTCTCTATTTCCACTGAAACCATGCTAATCTTAAAGCATAACCCTGATATAGATAAAGTAGCTTTAAATTAAAATATACTGTATTCACCTGTGTACAGTTGAACAATTGGTGCATGTGGCAGGTTCAGCAATTCTGCCTCTCTCAATTTCAACAACAACCTCATGTAGGCAGATGTTGCATCTAAAAAATCCTTCTCTCATTTCCGGTATAAGAGATGAAGTTCGAATAACCATTCCAGCGATTGTGATCAGTTGATCAATATCTAGAAAAAAGACAAGTACTTAGTTAAAAATAGTAGTTTTGTTCGAACCAGGCTCCGCAGTAGGAAAAAATTTAAAATTAAAACGAAAAATTTTGGTTGTGCCTCTTATTAATAAGAATGATTTCGACTCAAGTCTCAATTATGTAAAAAATGGACTCCGACCCCTTGTCCGAAACCATAGAAAATCAAATTTTTTAATACAAAATTTAGGTATATGCAAACGTTCTTTAATAAACTGTTTAGAACACTTGAAAAATTTAATGTTTTTTAGTTAGTAGAAAATTTTATCTGAAATTTTAAAACCGGTGCAGACTTTAATGATGCCAAATTCAGAATCCACAGCCCCAATTAAAAATCTTTGTTTTAGCCAGCTTCCTAATTTTAGAATTAAGGAATGTAACTTGTTGAGATTTTCAAACTCACTGTACTCAAAAAATCCAAAATTGACATATAATGGTATCATTTTAGGCATGTCTCATTTTGCAACTGTAAATGACCTTTTCTTATCACATTCAAATAAATTGAAGATTTGATTATTAGAAGAAAAAAAAATTTCATTGTTACCTTCAGGGTTCAGTGATCGCATATTCTTGGTTCGTTCAGCATTAAAAGGCCGAACTTGAATTTGATGTTCCAGTGCAATATCTGGATATTTTGTGAAGAACATCTCATTGATAGCCATGTCGAAAGTTGGAATAACTTCCTAAATATTTGAATAAAACTTTGTCAAACATTAAACAAGAAACGACACAAGGGTTGACATTTCTAGAAGTATGCTTATACCTGTGGATAACAAACGAGTTGTCTGTACAGGTCACGATCGAACGACTTTAGATGAATGCAGTCTATATCCAAGTATGGCTCTTCTGTAACACTGATCTGAAGTTTCAACAGAATCCATGAATCAGATATTATAATCAATGTGGTCACTGGACATGCAAATATTATTACTTTCTATTATTTAAATTTGGTCTATTTGATTGAAAAAAGTCTTTTTGCAGACTAACACAAATGTATTACTGTAATATTTCGTCCAAAAAATATGTACGTTAGTGTGCAGCAAGATTCTTGATTTAAATAGAATAGTCAACTTGATTTTTGCTACAGCACCCTTGCATTGTACACATACAGATCTACTTGCCCAAAGGCATAGAGCAAGAAAAGGTGGTTAGTCTCTTGTAAAACCAACTGATAGTTGATTAACTCATTTGATTTATTATTTAGTAATTAAGTGAACCTCCTCCAGTTTCTGTTGATAAAGTGGTTGGTTGACATCCATGTCATCCACTTCCATTCCGTCTGCATTTGGATCAATGAATCTGAAATAAAAAAGATAAATAGAGGATGTTTTCATGATGCCAGTCTAATGCGTTTTCAATTTTCTCAATATTATTGAGAGATTTATAATAATTTATTATTCGGTTAATAAGCTTTACTATGAAACAAGCCTTATCAAATGCAAATGAAAGAAACAAATTTTTAATACAGTTTATTATTCTGGTACGTGGAAGTATTTTCAATCGCTTTTTGTTGGCAAAGCCTATACCCAAGTGCAATTTATCATCTATGCCTATGACGTTACAACTTACAATAACCTAACAGTTAGCTTGTGCAAAGCGAACAAAGCATGTCTTAGATAAATAACCAACATTTTTGTGCGCGCATCTACTAGAAATCATATGTTAAAAAAAGGTGCGGCCCGTGATTTCATCTAGTTATTCGTATCTGGCCCTTCCGTATAAAAGGACCCCCCGCACCCCCCGGCATAGAGAATTGGGGTGAGGATTCAAAGAATTCCAAGTCTATAAACACATTTCAAAAACATTTACTAAAGTGAAATCTTCATTTCAGATTTTAGGCACAATGTGATAAAAATCATCATTTGACAACGATAACTGCTCAATAGTATTATGATTTAGTACCTGGTAACGAATTGACTGAATTTTTCCTTGCAATGACTGACAACAACATCCGTTCCCCATATTACAAGTTGGTTACTGACTGCAGGTTGATCAGCAGCATCAGATATGTCTGCATTTTGCGGCGCTGCATCAGACGACTGAAAAATTAAATAAAGATAGTTGAAAATGGCCAATAGACCAAAAAAACTTTTTTGGAGGGAAAGTTCCGAAGAACACTCCATTCTAGTATCTGTCAAAAAAGCAAAACAACACAACATTTTGTTGATAGGCGAGAGTTTGCAGTTCTAATGCCAATTGTAAGATTATCACCTGTTGGGCATCTGGGTTCACATTAACAGTTCGAACTTTACTGCTGCTTCCTAGATCAGGTCTCTGTCGTACTGGTGTAGCAGCTCCACGAGGAGTTCGACCAGGAGTACGAGCACCAGGTGTGCCATACAACAATGGAGAAGACAAATTCAGCTCACTGGCACCTGTTCAACAATTGACAGATTAGTATTTAGTGGTTTGTTATGAGAAATTTAAAAGCAGTAATAGGCCTGTTTGCTATTGCAGCCAGTCCAAATTCATGCATTTGAATCATTCTCTAAGAATTTTTCATATTCATCCCAGATCAACAAGACAGCCTAAACCTAAATATATGGCAAACTAGTCCAAGCAGAGCTAATCAATCAATCATTCAAAATATGTGGACTCTGATGGTAGAGAAAGCTGGAAAAGACTAGCTGTGATGGAAGCCAGTCTATGACTACATGAAGTTCAGTAATACTCTCACACATAATCTGAAACAAATAACTGGTCGACTATTTCCATACTCGACATCGACTGGTTACCAGACGAGAGGCTGTGGTTCGTCATATGATTAAGAAGCAGCTTCCTCATACTTTGGTATAAATATGAAAACTCTATGCTTATCCAACAGACTTTCAACAATGCAAAAAGTAATCAGGCAGGGTATGATGACAAGTATGTTTCTAACGCTTAGAACAATGCGGCAATACACCGTCATTGAAATTTATACAATACCCAGAATAGATCCAGGACTTGGCAATATTGCATCTCTAGAAACATCCAATAACCTGGCAGGTGATGTTGGTAAGAGGTGAGGATCACTACTTCCTGATGGAACCTGACATTGAACAAAACAAGCATATTATTCTCAATGCTGCAATGGCTAGTCAAGAATAGAAAATGCAATATGCATTGAAATCAATGGCAGTGAAAAAATGGCATATTCATTCTATTTGCAGATTTGAGCTCTTTTTAAGATAAAACCCAATACTGGTATCACTTTGTTGAAAAATACAAAAATACCAGTAAATCCAGCTCTAATTTTGTAAATACTGAAATAGAACACAGATTGACTAACAATATAAGATTAAAAGAAATACACCTGTGGTCGACCGGGAGACTTGGGATTTCTTCTTCTTCTTGAAGCTAAAGTAAATAAAATAGGATTACAGTATTTCTGTCATAAGTCAGTTTGCGAGTTTGGCAAATGTCAAGAAACTGAAAAGGGCCATTTTCTGCGTCAAGCATCATGCTAAACTTGCTAAACCATGCTAAGCAGTAGGGTAAAAGTTGAAACTAGCATTGAATCTTTTCCTCAAAACTGAAATAGACGAGATTATTTTAAGAGGTTTAATTTTAGACAAGATAGATAATTTCTTTCGTCCATAGACCAGAAGACACTTAACCCACATCAGAACATGAAACAATCTCCAGATACAGAGATATCTGAAGCTGGCATTATATTTTTAAATTTACCTCACATGTGCACATAGTCTATGTATAGAAAATTATATCGTTTATTTACAGATTTACGTACGTTTCAGATTATTTGGCAAGCAGTCCGTTCCGAAATTCAGAATTTAAGTGTGATACCGTACTACACAATGAAATTTTAACAAAACATACTATAAAATTAATACTTACGTGTAGATCTATCAGACATGGTTTATTCCCTGATAAACGTCAAGAACATCAAAAAATAGGCGAAAGGTAACTTAGTTGGTGCGGTAAACAAATTAGCTTATTGTCGAAGCCTAGGCAAATGTTTAGCTTTCCCGCCAAACACACATGTTCACCTTGTCAATAAGAGGAGTGCCAGATGTATGTTTTTCAGCTCCTTGTGGCGCAGCGCTGCATGTGGTGCGTCTGCACAATGGCATTGATCTGCTCAAAACTTTTCTGAGTAGGGATAAATATGGGATAGATAGATAGTTAGATCGCTTGAAAACTTCATATAAAACACAAATTAAAAATGGAGAATTCTGGAAAGCGAGCCAAATCTTCGAAAAAGTTTAAACTTGAAATTTATCATGTGTCCGCCCACCAGCACACACATAATTTTTTTTACAAGAGAGAGAGAGAAAGATTTATTGATTCGTCAACCAAAACAAATATAAATATGAAAGCATAAATACAGATAAATAAACACTGTTTATGGTAAAGACTGGAGGGATCGATACGACGATACGGTCATCCAAGTCAGCTCCCCCCATATTCACTGTTATGCATAAGATTCACAAGTATTGGATAGAGTATATTGGATTAGATATAATAGAGTATTATACACTTAAATATTTGTAAAAAGCACAATTACAAGGGGCTAATGAATGAAGTTAGTTATCACGCTCAAATGATCATTGATCTATGCATAAATCCATCCATACAAAAAGCACAAACCTAGTTGAACAAGACTTTGGCCAGAAATAAACAACCAGTGAACTTTCGAGCTCTTATACTTAAATATGAATTGTATTTTTTTCCTTTGGCTGTGTTCATACATTTAATCATTATCATTGAAATCATGACCTTTTTCCTGATACCTACCTCTGCATACACGAATTTAGTGTTGTGTAATTACTCAAGTACCTCTAATTCAGCGATGTTTTGGTTACTGCAACTATCAATTCCTAGGACAGTAGTTCTCAGACTTCTATGATTGCGACATCATTCCAAAGATCCACCGAACCTGTGGCAGTGGCAGCACGCTCTTTTGTAAAATACCTACTTTGACCTTTGAATCAATTTCAACAGTTGTTTTAAATTAATTATGTAGTCATCGCGAATGTTCCCAGTGAAAGTCTTTTTCACCGCCCCCCCATTTACCACGCAAAACCGTATCAAAAGACCTTTTATCGGGAAAGTGAAGATGCGTTCAAACCTACGAGTCACGACTATTAAGTCCAAGGCGTGTGAGATTTCAATCTAAGCTGCAATATTTCACTCCCTAAATAATAGACACTATAAAACTAAAACTTTATTACAAACAGTGGAAAATACAAGGGATATATATACATCTACATCCTATAACAAATTAATCTTTTGAATTTATCAATCACGTATAAAGCTGTTGGACGTTTCGAACAGACTGTCGCCAATTTTCAGCCCATCTCTCTTCACTGAGTGTTCTTAATTCTTCCTGTTCTTTAATTTCACCCATGACTGAATTATAGGCTTCAGTGAAGGCTGTAAGGCATTTATCTCTGGTGGTGACGGATGATGTGTGTGAAAGCGTCGTCTTGTTGCAATTTATGTCTTCTGTAAATTTGAGAAAATGATTGAAGTTTAGATTCACGCCATTCAGGGTAAGTTAATACTAGAGAAGAAACACACTTGCACTTGCACCTCTAATCTGTTCCTTGGGTCAGCAGGTTCAAATCGTGTGATGGATATGTGTGAGTACCGTAAGAGGATTGTCTGAATCTGTTCAGAGGTAGGGTGATGCACATAACTGGGACATGAACCAGTAGGGTATATAGCCCCGATGGATACGTTTTTACAATAAATTCTACAGAACACATGAAGATTTGATCGGGACATAAACTTGCCATAGATAGTATTGATTTTCTTCCCCTTGAAATAAATAGGAAAACTATATCTCGCCCAAAAGGAAGTCCAGTTTGAGAGTAACCATAATGTGATCAGTTATTTTTGTGTAGGCATACCTAGCGAAGGAAGCCACATTGTGATGATAAGAGATCCACCAATCTATTGAACAAGATACTCCCAAACTGGGTTCGCATAATGCCTCCATGAAGGGCAATAAACCTAACCCGTAACGCAATGAGTCAGTGAGTTTTAAGAAATGTTCAAATTTAGAAGACAAAATTTCAATACCTGCTACTTCAGTTAATACTTCTCCCTTTTCAAGAAGATGAGAAACCTCAAGCCCCGGCCAGACATTAGGTCCACGTGGCAAAGATGGTCGATATGAAGTGTCATGCAGATCAATACCAGCAGCTTTCTTCCGTAGTAATATACTAGTCGGTTCTTTTTTCAACTCAATTTCTAAAAAATATGAATATAAATAATTACAAAATAGGATTATCAAAAAAGACGAAACAGGTTTATCATATAGCGGGTCACAGCCTCTTATCCGGTTAGCAGTCCATTTCAGGAATGGGACTAGTTAATCAGTCACTTTTTTTAGATGCATGAACTTGATGGCAAAGGAAGCATTAACCAACCCTATGGCTGTGATGATCCCATTAATCTCTTTTAAGCTTACAAAGCCGAACTAATCTCTAAAATTATCATCAACTTATACAGTCACATGGGGCTATTAAGTAGTTACTACACAAGTTAGATCACAAGTTATAAGTTAGATGGCTAATTTAGTTCCTGCCCTCTTCCCTCAATTGTAAATTCAAAATTCAACGCTAAAACCGAAAATTGTCCAATATCAAGATATTTTTAAAGACTAAATTCGCTAATTAAACATTGATGCCATTCCTGTTAACTGGATGAAAAATTGTATAAGTATCAACTTTACTAAAAAAAACTGATACTTTTTTCAATAAATATACGTATATAATGTAGAAACTAAATTTTCAATCCAACACACAAAGTGTCAAATTTAATCTGAACCAGCCACAAATCAAATTATTTACCAGTCATCAAAACATATGACAATAATTCATACTTCCTGAATTGACATCATCGATTGTGAGAGAATAATCAAACTGATCCAATAAACTTGCACAAGCCTGTCCAATATTGAGCAAAAAATGCTTTGTGACTTCATGAGCCTTTTCATTTAAATCCTTGCTGTGTTGTTGAATACCAGACAAATTTTCAGCCTAAAAACAAAAGAGCGATGCTTAATATATGGGCACGAAGACCAAAACGAAGTAGTACAGCTACCGGTACTAGTGTAGCAAGTCGCAAAATTTTTTATAACATTTTCGCACACAAAAAAAGAAATTCTTTGAAGCCGACAGATTCAGATTCAGATGCACATACCTCTGGAGCACCGATTATAGAACATATTCCAGAGAGAACATAACGTTTGTGCAAAACGTTCTATATTACTGCAACTTTTGGGAAGAATCATACACAAACAGAGGTTCAAGTGTTAAATAAATTTTCTTTATTTTTGTAGAAGTAATTAAGAAATTTACAAGTTTTGTTTTTTTAGTTACCCTGTATATTCTAAATTATCATTTGGAGTATCATTGGAAAATAGTCTCAACAGCGGATAGTCTCAAACTAGACTGAGACTGGCATCACTATATTACCACGATATTTCAGCTTGCTTTTTTATTTCCAAGATCTGGGATGTTTGATCTATGTTAAGGTACTTATGCCTTTGTTCGCATAGTTTAACAGTAATTTTCTAGCATTAGGAAACTTCAGATGAATTATAATATACAAATTAACGAGTATAAAAATGTCTAGCACCTTCTGAATGAACTCAAAGGGTTGGGTGAAATAGAAATAAAAGGATAACAATATCTGAAACAAGGGCTTTCAACCAGTGGTGGGATTCAAATTTTTTGTTAGCCGGTTCCATCAGAAAAGTCATAAGTTTCAGCCGGTTCTGTTGCCAAAAAGTCATTGACAGTAACCAGTAATGCTAACTGGTTCGCTGATCTCATAAAATTCTGTGAGACGATTCTATAGAACCGGCTGAATCCCACAACTGCTTTCAACCATTATTACATGGCGAATTGGTTAGTTTCAATATTGGGGATGTACTACTTAAGCAATAATCCAACCTGTCTTTCCTCTTCTTTTGTTATCAGTTGTTGAAGTCTTACTTCCTGATCAGGATGACCTAATGTTGGTCTGAGAGAAACTTTGTGATTTTCCTATCAAAATGTAAATATTGAAACTCAATTATATTGTTGGAAATAATTTCTCATGTAGTTATTCAAAATAATTGTCAATAGAAATAATGATTGATGGATCTTGTTAAAAGTTGGAAGCGCTTTCCATCACACCTAGAATCCTGTCGAGTACATGTATGCGAGTGGGCTGCTAGACTTATGTGACCGCTGGTCAGTTACAGCTTCATCCTTCATCAAATCCACCATTGGGATCAACTTTTATTTGTAAGATATGTGTTACAATCATTAGCAAAGCAGGTTATCAATATGCTAGATATTTTAAACTGAATGACAGTAATATTTTGATTAAGCAATCCTTATCACTCATTTGTAGTGTCATATAGGATCACAAATTGACAATATTTCACAAACAAAGATGAAACAAACCTTCACTTTTTTCCAGTTAGCTTCTTTTATTAAAAATTCAGCTTGAATGATCTGTTGTTCTCTTCTGAGATTTTGCAGACTTTTTCTCAATATCTCGTCCAAAACTAAATTAGGAACTTCTGATAAATCTTCCTCAAGCGTTTTCAACTGATGGCGGAATTCTAAAACAAAACAGATAAGTCAGGCATCACTATGACATTCTGGTAGTTACATACAAATTTAGTGTTTGCAAGCCAAGTCATTCACATTAAATTTAAAGAAATAAATTAACAAATTAACCAAAATCCTTCCACAGAATTAAACAAGAGTGAAAATAATGATGCACTGGAGTATTGACAAAATAAGCCAGGTAAATATTCTCATCTGTGTAGAACATCTCACTAAAAAATAGGCCAGCTTTGAACCAATGATATCTGTTATTATTGGACTCAAAGTGTTGTTGTTGTTAATTCTTCTTTTTGTTATTGTTATGGAAAAACTGCCATTCTCTTTATTTACTGAACCAATTGCTTTGAAATTTTTAGTGGCTCAAGATTATTGTTGTCGTTAGAAGGCTAATAATTTTATTCATTCGTTTTTTGTGTGTGATGACGTGCACTATCAAAATAAAAAATTGCCTTGTGGCGGTATCGCAGTCATTCATTCATCATATATTTGAGCATCGCTCTCTTGTTATTTTCAAATGTTGTTAAGAGAAATCAAAACTAACATCATATACCTTCTTACCTTGTAAAGAAGTATTGTGGTATTCTTTGGTTTGTTCTTCGTAGTTTAATAATTTTGCAACAACAACATCAGAAAACTGATCAAAATTATCCTAAATAGTAAAATTAGAACATATTGTCATACTGGTAATTATTCGTGAAAAAGAACATAGACTATTTTTACAAGAACATAGGATAGGATTTACATATTTATCCTGGGGGTGGAGAAAAACGATAAGATGGCTCAATTATATGGCGAACCACGGCCTCTCTTCTGGTTACCAGTCCCTGCCGGGTATGGGACTAGTTAGCTAGTTATTTGTTTTTCGAAGCATGAACTGGTTGGTGGAGGAAGCTGTAACCAACAAGCAGTTATGTTAACCACCTTATGGCAGCGAGGAGTCCAGCAATCCTCTCGCACATACATATCCCTGTGAACCAACACAGGATGATCAGAGGTGTGTCGATCTTCAAAATTCCAGAATTGAGTACTTGAATAAGACAAACAAGCTAATTTGATGTTATCACAATTCCATCAAGCAAATTGACACTTATTACCACAAAATATGTTCTCAAAATATCACCAAAAATATCATGCACACAACAATGTGAAGTCCGTAAATTCAAGCTTTTGAACTGTTGGTCTAGCTTATTAAAAAATATTTATGTTTGCAAAAGTTTATATACTAAATACGAGAATAGTATTATACCTGCATATGATCTGGTCTAGTTACAGCTCTCGCTCCTTTCTGTTTGTAATAAATTTCTCCAGTTGAAAGTAATCCGTCTAATGTTTCATACAGTATTTGAGTGATCTGGAATTGAACAATGACACTATCCTTTAACGATGTATACGATGAATCTTTTTATACGAAAATAACAAAAAGAGTTATTGACTATGTGCATTCCTAAGGTATTTGTTGTAATAAATTATTAATCCTGATCTTTATAATCTTTATCTTTACAGTTATGCCTTGTTTCGTCTAAAAATTTTGACTTTGATGTAAAGAAAAATTACACAATACCCAAGTATTCAGGATGCAAGTTTATGTGCAAGTTATGACACATAAAATGGTGGTTCACTTAATCTAGTCCAGTGAGTCCCAATTTTTTTGACCATAAACTATTTCCAAAGCAAAACCTTGGCTAACTCGAGACACAAGAAATAAATAAACATCGATTTTATCGAGATTTGTTTATCAGAGCAACTAGAAAAATTGTATTGTCACTATCAAACAAAGGTTTTGATCGACTAAGATGATTTAACTGAACAGAAATGTAATTGGTTTGCATGTGTAGAATGCTCAACATAGCCAATAGTTCTGCAGAGTCCAATGAGTCTGGGATGTTAACAGGATGAGAACCAAGATATATCATATGATTTAGCTGTTTTATAATTTCACTTCTTTTTGCTATAAAAACATGAAAAATGCAATCCCTGGCTATCCTGTGAAATGAGCCAAATATGTATCCAGATAAAAAACCTATTACACCCTCAGTATGATCATTAGCCAACATGAGTTTGTAATACCTTTGCCTCAAAGTGAGTTCCAGATGTTGATGAAGTACCGAACACCATATGTCGAAGTTCGAATTTAGTTTCACGTCGTTTATATATACCAGATCCAACTCGACTAAAAAAATAAGGCAGAAATAAATACATTTTATTAAGAAGAATTGCTACAAGTATGTTAAAATCAGTATTATTGGTGAGGGAGGATGGGATTTCCAGATTTATCTCAGGAGAGGAAAGTAGATAATATGACTTAATCATCGACATCAGTCACACGTACCAGTTCATGTCAGCTATGGGATTAGTTAGCCAGTATTTTCTTTTCAGATGCATGGGCTCGATGGTGCAAGAAGTCATAACCAACCAGCGGCTATGTTGATCCTGCAAATCCATGCAGAGTAATCATAGGGCAATTGCAAGTGTATTCCACCGATCCAATGAACTTGAGCGAAAAATAAATAAGCACAGTAGAACCATACTATTAAGGTGTCCACAGAAAATCCAAATCGCACATTCAATTCACGGCTTACATACATACAAAAATTGTAATATTAACTGAAGAAAATGTTTCTGATATTCTACCTTCCGCCATCTTTCTTTTTCCCTTTATCAGAATCAGTTGTACTTCCAGCAATGCTTGTTAATGTTCCTTGTCTTTTAAAACTACCTTTCTGCATACGAGAATTTCCAATCTAAAATGTTTTGAATTGGAAGTCTTGTTTAATCAAATACATAAAACGAGATTTTCATATTCATCCATCCAGTGATATCAGTACAAATCAGGGCCTGTTTATTGTATATACCGGTAAAAGAATGTATGTCTGTGAATTGTTAATAAAAAAATACCTGAGAGGCAGCAGTAGAGGGAATAGGTCTTGTTCCTCCTGTCATAACTGATCTTAAATCTTCTGACTCAGGGTCCATCCCTTTCTGTGCCCTATTGGAAATGAAATATGGAAATTTTGGTGAAAATAAGGTCAGATGTAAAACATACAGACACTGATAAATCGAAGTAAATATACAAAAACATGCAAAAATTATTTTTATGATATTTCATACTAAAATGACCCATAATGCTTTAGAATGTAATATAGCTTGGCATTATGGAGCAGTGTGCTTAGCATTGCAATCACACCTCCAATTACCCTGAGTGTGTTCCAGAATCAATTCTCTTAATGAATAATTATGTGCGAGTGAATTGCAGGACTCTTGCCAGTGGTGGTTCCTGCAACATTTGGTTGTTCACATCTTCGTCCACCATCAAATCTCGTGCATCTGAAACAAATAAATGGTCAACCATTCCCATTCCCGACATGAACTGGTAACCGAAGGAGAGGCTGTGGCTTGCCATATGATTAAGACATCTTATCGGCTTCCTTCTCCTCCCCCCAGGATACACATGAAAATCCAATCCTATTTACCTGAGAATGCTCTTAATCATTCCAATAGCAGAATCTTCCTGGTGTTGAGCTCTCCTTGATGTTCCACCAGTTTGAAGGTCAGTTCGACTTGGGGCACTCACACCTGATGGTGTTGGTTTGTTTGACCCTGCTTTTGAATTTCTGCCTTGACTCTGCCGACTTTTTTGTCTTGATGATGGAGCAGGTGTTAGTCCCCCACCTCTAGATGCTGGCTTTTCGACTGGAGTGCGGTCAGTGAGATCTTGAGCACTTGACTACAATAGAAAACATTTTTTTTTAGTTTCAATTATGAAGGTACTTGAAGATAGAAATTCTTAGAAACAAAAGATATCTTTTTTAAAAAACCTTCAATCCTCAGGGAAAATATTCATGTTGGTTTCCTAACATAGGGGTGGTAAGTTTTTTTTGCAAGGGCCGCATTCAAAAAATGTTTTTTGAAAAGGGCGGCATGTGACGCCACAGTGACTATTTCCATTCGCTATGCCAGAAGTTACATTGTTAACCAGAGATGAAAAAAAAATATTTATTTTATTTATTCATTTATAGTTTGGATATTCTATAGCAGGTGGACTACATAAATGACTTGGCGGGCCGTTCCCTGCCTAACATTACTTGGAACTGTTTACTGGTTGGGAAGTTGCAGATTGCAATCTGATGATGCCATCATATAAGCTTTATTCTAAATATAAAAAAAGACTAGCATTTTATGTATTTACTGTACTCACCTGCAGAGGAGATTCTTCAACAATTTTAACTTTACAATTAAGATAATCAGCTCTTGTATGAAGACATGACATCACTTCATTTGTATATTGACATAAAAACTTTGGTGTAATGTCCTAAACAATAACAAATGAACAGTAAGTGTCAAAGTACAGTATACAAAGCAAACTGTGATAGTATAATTTAATTATTGAGCTCTAAACCGATATATTTTTCATTAAACTGGAAATTGAGGGCAATACAGTATGTTAATCTGAATCCTGAAATCAGACATCTATTGTAAAATATTTTTAATTTAATTTGTAGCGATTAAGTACAGATATCAAGGAGCCATATAAAAACATTTAAACAACAAATATTAGTATAAAAGTCAAAATTTAATTTTTTTTTGTGCGTTTCTGTGTCCCCAATCTTAATTTTAATTTCCATGAATCAATGTGTGCTGTCCTTTTTCCACATACATCAATTTAAAGAAAATTTGATAATTTAATTCAAAGACAATTTAGTCAATAAATTGAATTCAAGTCATTCGTGAAGAATCACAAACCCAAAATTTTTCTTCAAAAACTGCAGTTATGTGGAATTCACTACTTCATAGCTGTTTTCCTGATCATATTGATCTGAACTGTTAATCAGTATTTACTAATGCATAATTCTATATAGTGTCAGTAACTTTTCAGTGATCACCAGTAACATAAGTCAGAGGTCAGTCTCATTTATTTCTGAGTGATTGTGCTCTTCGTACTGAGCATTAGGAATATGCTCGCCACTGCACCTCTTATTACCATGCATGGGTCCGCAGGTTCGATTTCCATGCAGGAATAGTTATGTGCGAGAGGATTGCAGGGCTTCTCGCCGCCATAGGGTGGTTCAAGTAACTGCTTGGAGGTTCAAGTCCAAATCTGGCTAAGACATCCCATACCCGACATGGACTGGTAACAGGACAAAGGCTGGGGTCCGCCATATGCTTAAGCCATTATATCGGACTTCCTTTCCCTCGAGATGAATATGTAAATCCTATCCTAGATAACTAAATCATTATCATACCTCCTTGTCAGGATTTGGATGTTTACAAGCATCTATCCTTGATTTGACAAGTTTAACATGTCGAGCTACACTTGCTGCCATTCCGTTAGAATGAGCAACTTCCGTTTTTATTCGAACTTGTGAATTCGTAATCCATCGTTGAACTTTTTCAATGAAAGTCAAATCAGACATGTGATTGCGGAACCTGGGGGTGATAAAAATTTCAATATAAATTAGTACCTAATAAGTGGAAGAAAGAAAAAATATTATTAGAGGAAATTATAATAAGGTACGGTAAATAGAAAAGAAATAATTAGCCAGTGACAACAACAACACTTCATCTGTATAGAAGTGGTTGGTGAGGGAAGCAATTAACAACATCCATGATTAGCCTGCATGGATTCGTAGGTTTGAATCTCATAGGGGGGTAATTATTTGCGAGACGATTGCTGATCTTTGTACTGCCATAGGGTGGTTCACGTAACAGCAGGACGTTTACGGCTTTCTACACAATCAAGTCCATGCATTTGGAACAAATAACTGGCTAACTAATCTAATACCAGATTACCAATTTTAACAGAATGATTCAATGTTTTAAAACTATTTTCACCTGTCTTCAAACTTGGTGATGACTTCAGTAGCTTGATCGAGTCGTTTTGATTCCATTCCTTCCAAATCATGCATGATGACACCTTCTGCCGCATCAACTCTTTGAGACATTTTTTCAAGTTTTTTACGAAGACCAACAGTTTCATCTGGCGAGAAGTTGCCTCCTTGTGAAAACAGCCTGAATATTCAAAAATTATTAAATTATTATTAAAGTACCGGTATGCTTATTAAAATGGTTGATAGCATATTCACACCTTATGAACGAAAACATACTATACGATGAACATGCTATTCAATTCTGATCATTTCTCTACTTGGTGGTTGGTGCATCGTGCTAAGCGTTAGGAATAGGCTTGCCATCAGACCTCAACCCTCTGATTACCCTGTGTGGGTGGGCAGGTTCGAATTCCATGGGGGATAATTATGTGCGAGAGAATAGCTAGACTCTTTGCTGCCATAGGGTGGTTCACATAACCGCTGGTCGGATACAACGTCTTCCGCCATCACGTCCACACATCTGAAACGAAAAAGTAATCCCATTGACATCTCATTGGCAGCTGGACAATGAGGCCATGGTATGCCATATGATTATGCCTTTTTATCGTGTTTCCTCTCCCTTGGGGAAAATATAGAAAATCTTGTTCTATGTATAGACAACATATTCAATTCAATGCCACCTCAATCATACTGCATAAAAAATTATTCACGCTTACTTGAAAGACTTGAGACATTGAGCATTTGAATCTCGTAATCTACTCAGAGTGTTATCTAGAGTTTGTCGAAAATGTCTGAGTGATGCTTTGATAGCTTGCATGTAACTATCCAGATTTCCATGTAGTGAGTTTGTCAGTTCAACTAGTCTGAATAAATGACATGATGTGAATTTTATATTTCATGTTTTTGGTTACCCGTGCTAACTCAGTCATATTTGCTGAGTGAAGTGTCTAGTACCGTAATTTATTTCATTTCAATTGCTTAACCTCATAAATAGACAAGGAAAAGGGGCACAATAGTTGATACTACTATTCAGGGATGTCCAAATCGAATCGAATAATTAAATATATTCGAATATCACGACTCTCGAATATAGTTTTTAGTGTTCGTCAGGGATGTTTCAATTGGAAAATTTTTTACAATGATTATCTTATGATTCTCCTAATCTAGAAGAGTTGTATGCGACGATTACCAAAAATCGCAGCTGATACGAAAGATTTAAATCAGCGCTGACTTGGAGAACTTATATCACAATTTTCGGACCTCCTGAAGTATGCGCACCAAGATGGCGCACGACCTGAACTCAGGTTGTGTACTAGATTAGGGTTCAGGTTGTGCGACCTCTTGGTGCGCATACTTCAGGAGTACCTAATTTTCTGTATTAATGCTCCTCCATTGGCAGATGATCAAATTTAGGTAGTGCATTTTGGTAGCCAAAGGACACTCATGCTGAAGAAAAGCTGTCTAATTTTACAGCAAAAACTATTTGTGTAAAAATTGTGTGCGATGTTCTAATGACTTTTATTTAACTGTACAATTTAGAATACTCCTAGTTGTTTTTATTTTTGCACTTGTCTTGATACGAGCTACATTTCATAAGTATAAATACTGTCACTACTACTGCCTCATGTTCTATGGGAATTTGGAAAGTATTTGGCATAGTCCAATATTTGGTTATGGTCATCACTGCGCAAGAATATAAATTTAATCTATGCTTACTTTGCTGATTTTGTAGCATTGATGAATATATTTTCCATTGCTTCGATTTTAGTTCGAAAATTTGAAGCTTGTATTTCATGATCTTTTGTCATTTCATCAAAATCTTGTTTCAATCCAAGCAATGCAGCTGTTATTCCCTTACAATGTCTTGATACACGCTCTTTATGTAACACCAGTTCAGCTAAAATTAAAGAAGATTTCTGGTATTAAAAGTAGGTGCGATCTCAAGACCGTATACTACAAATATAATATTAATTTTTTTGCTTCTATAGATCAGGTTTGGCTTTAGCTAGCTAATATTTCAACAACCAATATAAACACATATACTGGAAAAAGACAAAAACAAACAGCAGTTATGCCAATACTCTTATCCTGTGCCAGTAAAAATTTTAACGATCGTCTAACACATAGCCTACACATAATTGAGTTGGATTTTGACAATCCTCTCACACTTAGCCTACACATGCTTGTGTGGAATTTTAACAATCGTCCCACACATAGCCTACACATACTCAAGTTAAATTTTACAATCGTCTCATACATAGTCTACACATACTTGAGTTGAATTTTAACAATCATCTCACACATAGCCTACACGTACTTGTGTGAAATTTTCACAATCGTCCCACACATAGCCTACACATACTTGAGTGGAATTTCACAATCATCTCACACATAGTCTACACATACTTGAGTTGAATTTTACCAATCGTCTTACACATAGCCTACACATACTTATGTGAAATTTTAACAATCGTCTAACACATAGCCTACACATACTTGAGTTGGATTTTACCAATCGTTAGACCAATCATATTAGATATGAATTCTTTATAGATTTAAGATTGGATTCTCATATGTATACTAGGGTAGATAATGTGGTATTGGGGATAGATAACGTGCATGATAGATAGGTGCATGGATTTGAAAAAACATTGAAAACATAGCTAACCTGCTCTAACATTGTGGACATCTAATTCGATACGTTTGGCACGAGGTTCATGTAGATGTTTTCTAAGATCAAGTTCAGATGCGAGTTCTTCTTGTTTATCTCTTGCTGAATTGTCTGCATTTATCATCGCTTGTTCGCTCCATGTTTCCAAATGATTCAGGAACTGCATTCTAATGCTGTAAAAACAAAAACATATAAAAATATTCTATACATAAATTATAATTAAATATTGATGGTGTTATGCACTATGTGCCCCTATGCATGGAGATCAAATAAAATAGAGCAAATGCCATTCAAGTGGATAGCACAAGTAAAACCAAAATTACTCCATTTTTTTCATTATTTGTTGCTTTCTAAGTGAAGCTGATTGACATTCTAGAGCTGTGCTTGTAACTAAGTTGTGGAACATCTTATAAAAAAACAGGATAGCACTCAGACTATTCAGATGATAGAATTATAGATCTGTGGTTTCCGACCAGGATTCTGCAGCACTTCCAGTGTTCCACCAGTAGAGTCCAAAGGTTACTATATTATTCATTATATGTATATTGCTTGAAGGTAGTCAAATATTCAAAGGTTTGAAAGTTTTACTAAACTCGCTTCACTTTAAAGATCATTAGATAATTAGTGTTAGGTTTGTTTTTATAAGACAATTAAACAATTGTACAGGGGTTCCTCAAACGCCTGGAACATTTCATACCAATGACCACCTTTTTTAGTATATTCCTCACTTTGCCTATTTGAAAGTTTTCATTCCCCTTTGCGATGCATGATAACTGTTTTTGTTTTTGTTGTTTATTCTTTAATGGATCATTATCTACTCTTACACGCTAGCGCTCTGACTTTTGTACAATTTGAATAGTTTCAATAATATGTGCATTATACTAGTACCACTATGCTCGAATACAAATGTATTTCTTCCCGAAAAATACTAAAATTACTTCGGAGAGAAGAACCCCTTACTGAAAACGCTACAATAAAATAACATTTACCATAAATAAACCTGATGAATTATACTGTTTACATACCATTTTTTGATGTTACGAAGGGTGGCTGTCTCCATATACACTGTTCTGATATACATAGGCATTTCAGATTTACCTGATTCGTCTGAACAAATGAAAAATTATCTATTGTTATAAAATTAGTAATCAAATTAGTAAAGAAATTCTTTAGATAAAAAACAGATAGAATTTCATACAAAAGCAGGGAATCCTTTAAATCATGAAACAATGGATTGAATATTTTATAGGGATAGGTAGTTGATGCATAGCGCTTGTTGTTAGGAACATGGCTACCAATGCAATGTTAAGTAGTTTAACAGGCTAAAATACCATGTGCAAAAAAATAGCTGGACTCTCTTGTCCCAGGATGGTTGACGAGCCCTTAATGGGTTAAGTCCATCCTCTACCATTAAAGTTTATGCCTCCTTACTATGGATAAATTTGCTATCCCTATATCCATTCTATACTGGTAATTGGTGACAGATCATGAATGAGCAATTTTATCACCTTTCCTTTCTATATAAATAAATTCAAAAATCCAATCCTGTAGTGAATTTGTTATACATCTTTCAAAATTGTGAAGATGAACATAAACGATATTAATAATACCAAAATGTTCTTTAAAAATATAACTTGTACTTTAGCAACTATTATATATGCAATACTAAATAAAAGCAACATGTATTCGTTTGTCACAGTGTAAGAAACATGTATTGTCTTCAATAACATAACTACTTTCTCTGTCTTAAAGACATTTCAGTTTGGGCCACGCAGGCTCATGTGCGGAGATACATTTATCAACAATGTGCGGTGTGAATCGACGAGAATCGATCACTGTGATTGAATTATTTGTTAATGAAAGTGAAGTATTACAATATTCTATTAATTTTATTTCGCTATTATAATTAATGAAAGTGGAGGCAAAATCAAATGTTCGAACGCAAACAAAACAACACGATCCTTGATTTTCAACATGTACGTATGGTGCAATCAATACAGAACCTAACTATACACATTGGCCACCATTTATGTTTATAATTATGTTCGCCACAAGTAATATTGTAATAATGTTTTGATAATTTTTATTCAAGCCTTGTCCACTATTGCATCATCTCACAAACTCAATTATTTTCATATTTATACCAACCAGAAACTTCTGTCATGAATGCAGTGCCAGAAAGAGCAGAAGAACGTCTTCCCTCTTCATTATCATCATCTTTCGTATCTTCTTTCTCTCCTTCTTCTTCAAAATCTTCCTTATCAGCAACAGTGACAACATAAAATGAGGTTCCTTTATCAGTAGTGAGGGTGTCTCGCAATACTTTTGCTTTCTCTTGTATGGGTCTTGGTGATGTTTGTTTAGCAAGAGGTGATGGACTTCTTGGTCTCTGCTATTAAAGAATTTTACAGATAAAATTCTACACATGTTTATAATTAACATGGCTGCATTAGGCATACCATATCATGAAGGATCAAGAGCACACTTTCAATTGCACTACTGATTACGGTACTCAAATAATCCTGCAGGACACAATTGTGCATGAGGGGATCGCAGGAATCCTCCTCATGATAAAGTGGTTTATGACAATGCTGATGGGCTTTGACTTCTGATGCAATCCATGCATCTGGGATGATAAACTGGATATCTATTATCATTCCCCAACCTGGTAACCAGATGAAATGCTCTCATAGCTAATTTCTACTTGCCCAGGATAATTATCGAAAATCCCATCTTATTTGATATTGATCAAACAGTGTTTTTTTATTTGTAAAATCAAAATTTAGAAGTTCTTGTTTACTATATCATAATCTAAGTTCAGAATTAGAGATGTTTTAAAAATTGAAAATTAATTAATAATTATGATATTCATTTAAATAATATCTTACTGAACAAGCAGGATTAACTTTACAGAAATATTCTTAAACATTTTATAACAAGCTATTCAAGTATTCCCTATTTCAGACACAACTTAAAATCCTTCCTTGCCTTATCATGTTCTGCACTATGTGTTCTCCTCTCAGGAATATGTTGAATAGACAACCTTCTCTCTGTCGAACTCTGAGTAAATTAAGAAAAAACAATAAAATAATCTGAAATGTTTCTCCAAGTAAAACTGTCAGAAAACTTTTATACAGATTTTAATTTCTTCGATTTTATATATCTTTGGTATAATTTAGCTGATAGGTTTCGGTACTCAAAATACCAACTAAAGTGGATTAACTCTAATAGAAAAAGCAGCAATCAAACAACCTCGAATATTCTGAAAGTTACCTATATTTCATCTATACTGGTAGAAGATACAGTGAGACTAACCCAAAGACTGACTCAACTCAATCACGAGGGTGTGGGGACTTGTACCCATCACTGTATCTTACTCTCGTTCGATCATACTAATAAATCAGAATTGTATCCTTGCTTATGCAGAAAAATCCTTAATGCCTTAGCCATGCAGAATCATTTCTAACTTGGTGCTTGGACGCTTACAGGGATCATTGTATTATCTTTCCTTCCCTCAGAATAACTATGAATTATTATTATCTTGTCTCAATATACCTCTTGGGCACTAACTGGTCTCACCATTGACAATCTTCTAGTATGCTGTGCCCTCACTACAGCTACATTGCGTTTCTGTAAATATTTCGAAAAATTTAGCGCTGGGCCAATAAATTACAAATCTAAAAAACTTTTATATAATTGAGTTTCTGCTAATGATAATTCCTAACTAAATAACTATATATCCTAATAGTTTTGTTTATAAAAAGCAGATATGGTAAGGGCATAAAAATATAGAAGTGTTTTATTATTCTTTGTTTTATTAGGATATGATGAAGTTTATATTGCACCAAATGTAATAAATTATAGCTGTCTACAAATAATTTTAAATTCAAGATTCTCGCCTATAAAATCTGCTTAGGATACAGTTTATCAGTATTTAGGATTGATTAATGAGACTATAATATGAATCGAAGTATTGGTTTGATGCATGATAGAACACTTTCAATTCTATCTATATTCTTTTTTAATTTGAATTCTAAATTCACTGAAAATATGGCATTTGCCTATATTAAACTTTTCTTATAGAAATATATGGAATGACAAAATGTTTTTTGTTTTGTTTTTACCCCTTAATATTTCTGTACACCAATACCTAAAAGTAAGTATCTATAGCGTAAGACTACCAACAGATATGTGTCAGCAAAATGATGTGATTTGCAAAACTTTCACATTTCTACTCAGAAAACTTCGTTAGTTTATGATATGGTAAAGACACTAGCGTATGTGTATATATTGTAAGGAAAATTGGGAAGGCATAATGAAATAATATCTAATAAAAACACCATAGTAAGTAAGTATCCGTAATTAGATTTTCAGATTTATTACCCCTGGGGAAAGGAAAAAAAACGCACGTTTATTGGTGGAATATTCTAAAGAAATATACCTTCGGGGATTTAGGTTGTGTATTTGAATTTTGAGTAGGTTTATTTCTGTTGACATTGAAAAAAGTGCAAACAGCGTCATCATATCGTTGAATTTCTGATTTAACCATGTCAGGATATTTTGTAACAGTGTTGATCTGTTCTTCATGAAATTCTTCATATCTAGATAGAAGAAATAGAAAAATTAGTCAATTTCCTTGCCATGCCATGTACATTAAAACTTGCCAAATGCAGAAAATACTATCTCAAAATGAGATTGGGAACAATAGTATTTAACAAAATTTGACTGATTGCTCAATTAACAGTACAATTACAGTTGATTAGTCTTCAGACAAAATATTTCTACAAGAGATTCCGTACGGCCTTTTACATGTAGTTCTGACAATTTATCTACGGTAATTCTAACCTAAGCTATCAGTATTGAAAAAACCTTATAATATTTGTGATAATATGATTGAAAAAGATAACTTGGACCTTTTCCAGCATGGTCTACAGACTTTTTGCGCCACGGACATTTCACTGCTGGACTTTTCTTACCATTAGGTGGCATAAGACGATTTGAATAATAATATTGATTTTCAATTGCCTTGGAAATTGTTTAGAAATAATAATATATAAATAGACAAAGATTTATAGATTTATTTATGGATATTTGTTCACCACAGTAGTGACATATACCGCCAACCTGCGGCATTGGCACAGCCCTAACGTTAACCCTGTAACATCCTCCAATTCCAACTAGGTATGTTCAAATGTCCTATGATTCCACATGTATTCATATATTGATTTATTTTGAAATCGAAAGGCTGTAAATTCTTGAACATAAATCTTTTTCCATAAACAATAGTTATGTGTTATATAATATTATTCAAAAACCAATCAAATTTAAAACTATAATATTGCCTAAATTACAATACTAATTGTCAGTAATAACTTTGAAACTTCTGTTTAAATTCATACCCGCTGTAGATATGTTCAAGCATTTCGAGTGATTTTTGTAAAAAAGAAGTCAATGCTTCTTCTGTACTTTCTTGTCTTAATCTGTCCATAACAACATCTAATTTTGATTCTCGCTCTTGATTGTCAACATCGTGTTTCTGGCGGCTTTCATCAAGATCATTCTAAATTATTATTTTTCACAAACATTCAAATATCAAAGCTCAGATAAATAAAATCACACTTTTAAATATAAACATCCCCAATTGCCAATTATAGTATTTTCAAACAGTTTTGGTTACTGCTGTACAAACAACTTTGTTATAAATTATTTAACTCATGATTTATATTAAGGACCATATTTTTTGGCTGATAGGCTGATTTCCTGGACTAAAATTTTCAGCCCGATTTCCCGAATCTCAAATATCTCCGCTGTTATTATTATATTTGATGTTACAGCATTTATAAGTGAATCACAAGCAAAAGCAATTACCCATACCATCACATGTGACAAATCATGAGAACAAGGCGTTATAACTTTGGTACATAACTAAAAAAAAAAAAGTATAGTAAAATAGTACTGATAAAAATAGAGTGCTCATTGGTGCTTAAATGACGAAACTGACCAACTGAAAAAAAAATCACACAATTCTGCTGTCTCAGCTTATTGGGCTGTAACATGGAAAAACTGTCATTTTTAGTGCAATCGGCCACAGCTCATTAACTGAAAGATGCGGTATACAAATAAAAAATAGTATCTATCGCTTAATCAAATATGCCAGTAGTAAGTTTTTACGATATTTGTAATTTTATACTATTAATAAATTTACAAATCATGATAAGATTACCTGAAGTTTTCTCTCTTGTTTTGCCAATCCAATTTCATGAACATCCCATAGATGGGCTGCACCCTGAGTAAACTTGAATAAACGTTTGAGTTGGTGCTCTGTTCGTATAGCCAAACTTTCGAAAATTTGCTGTAAGCAAACAAATAATAATGTAGCATCAGTCAATATATCCCTATACATTACAGCTAAAAGGAAAACTTACATCCATCTTCTCCAGCTTGGACTCAAATTCCCGTTGACGCTGACCCACAAGAGGCAGCATGTGTTCGTTTACAATTCGCTGAACATCTTCTTCAGAACATACTTTTGACAACAGTAAATTTTGCTGAAAATAATACAACAGTTAAATGAAGTAGATGTAATTTCAAGAAAAGGAAGACCATTTCCGTGTTGGTGAATGGCTGCTCCATTGCTATACACTACCTACAGGACTGGAGCCATAAAATCGAGTCCTAGTAAGTTTAATGCAATGGTTACCAACTTGACATTTACTTCAAGAAATGCAAATCACAATGCGTGGATAAAAAAATCTGACTTTGTTTTTATTTATTTACGATGATAAAGTTTTGTAATCATGCGATGCATGATCTTCATTTTGTCTATGAAAAATTATATCCTGGCTGATTATCCGATATGACAAGTCATATGTCCCTCTCAATATCATCTTTCAAATGATTTTTGAAAATTTTGAATCAAGTTCTAAACCTAACAAGAGAGATAATAATTAATTTTTTTTTGAAGTGGATTGGGAATTTGCGTCCCTGACAAAGTTTTTCACATTTTTTATAGAGCGAAACCTTCGATAGGAAAGTAATGCAAGATAGTTTATTACACAATTAAAGTTCTTGGCTTGATTGTGAAGTTTTCAAAATTACCCCTATATTTTAAATCATTAGCAGATTTAGTTTATTCACACCAAGATTTTTAAAACAAAGATTGGTTGATCAGAAATATATTACTTTGAATTTCAGCTTGGCCAAATAAAACAGGTTAATTCATATTATTTTCAATAAACGGCGTTAATTATACAAGAACTGTATCTAAATAACAACTTGACTGAGTTATGAAACGCAAACTCATTTGCAATATTTAGCTTCAAAAGCTTTTATCAAGAAAATTTTAATAAAACTTACGCGATACTTGTCAATTTCAGCAAGGCATCTTTGACAAACATTTTCATATTTTTCATTCAGTGTTCGAACCCATTTTAAATGAAGTTGATCTATATTTTCTTGGGATTTGGAAAGTGCTGAATTCCATTTATACACTGATGTTTTGGTTGATGTAGGCGGCTGTAAATAAAATATAAACAATTACTATAAAATAGGATTTTCATATTTATCCTGGGGGATAAGAAAGAAATAGGAATGTTTAATCATATGACAAAACATGGCCTCTCATTCGGTTACCAGTTCATGTCAGGTATGGGACCAGTTAGCCAGTTATTTCTCTCAGATGCATGGACATCATGGTGGCAGAAGCGCTAACCCTACCAGCAGTTACAAAATCCCCCTACGACAGTAAGGAGTCCAGCAATCCTCTCACACATAATTATCCCCCATGGGATTCGAACCTGCAAATCTGCGCAGGGTATTCAGAGGTGCGTAATTTTGACACAAACTCACTTAAGAATAAAAATAATGTTACTTAAACTTATTGGACAAAAATTGAGAATTTGAACTGTCAAAACAATATGTAGAGTTCACAATGTATTGCACCATATTCTACCTTGAATTCCAGTAATTGTTCCAAAGTTTCATTTCGTTTTTCTTGCAATTGGGTTTGTTCTTGCAGATGACTCTCATTAACTCCATCTATGTCTGGTGGATTCGTTACATCATTTCCATTCATAAATTCACTATTAAAATACACGAATGTTGGTGTAATTAAACTGTGAATGCATTGAATGCAACTGCGACCATAATTGATATAAAAACCAATATTGGAATAATTGTTTTTCACGTATTTATTATAATTCTTTCGATATTTATTTTCTTTATAATGGATAATATTAATGGATTTTATTTCAAAAATTTTGAAATTTCATTTCGAAATAGTTTGGATATAATACTCAAAATAAAATAATAACAATTAAACGAGTCAAAACTGAGACATTGCTGTTCAATGTAATATTATACAGTAATATATATAGGAATTTTGGATGGTGCTATGGCCTAGAGCAGTGCTTCCCAACCAGTAGTTGAGAAGTATTTCCAAATGTTAAATACAGATTTCGATTAGATCAGGAAATTGTGGCATTATCATTACTTAACAATGATGAAACAATGTAGAAATTAGAATTATGCGATGTGTTTCGTTAATAATTTCAGTATGAGGAAATACGATTACATCCAATGTGGTTTCATTAAGGCAGGTAATGACTTTGAGTCAAAAGCACAATGTGTTGAGTGTAAATGCTACGTTGCGTGTGAGCTTGTTTCCTATTGAGCCCTGACTTGATCTGGTAATATCCAATATGCAAGCTCAAGTTTCGCGTTTATAGTAAATTGCATGGGGATGCATTGTTTCTTTTCTCATATATCAACATGTCATTGTGGGTCGCACAAAAAATGGCAATAAAAGTGGGTCACGAACTGAAAAAGGTTGGGAAGCACCGGCATAGCGGTTACAGCGTTAAGCTTAACTGCGTTGGTATCGCAGATTACCCATCTCGCGTTCAAATCCCCCGAAGCGGGTGAAATAAAATGGGTAAGCAATACTAATCCAAAAAGATTCCAGTACTTACAAATAAAAATAACTCCTAACATATCGTGAGATATCAGTGGCTGCTTATATGAATGAGTGAATAAGAGTCATATAAAACACTTACATGAATTGTTTAACTGCAATTTCTGCATTTAATTTCTTCCAATCCTGAACTCTCTCACTCCATGTTAAATGTTGGACCATTTCCCGTTGAATATCAGATTCCAATAAATTGATTCGTAGTTTCGCATATGCCCGTCTGTTTGCAAGTATGCTCTGATTTGCCATCATTGATTCTTTTTCAATGAATCTCTGAACATCAGCAGGCATAAGTGAAGCTATCTTTTCCAATACAGCAGCATATTTTCTGAAGACACCTGATATCTGTACATAAACACAAAATTTCATATTCTGAATTATAAACAGCATTTTTTGTGAAGTTGAATTTGCCAGGCAAAACATTTGAAACCTTGACTAAGGTCAAATGTATTAAATATTCAAAAGCAAATCACGTCAAAACTTTTGAACCATAGATTTGTATTACCGTATATTAACAAAAACCAAAAGGTATTATATCTAATACAGCTAATCATAATCATTTAGTATCTTTCAAAATTGGTTATAACAATTCGTATCATTTTATCACAAGTTTCCAATATGGTCAGATAGGAAAAGAAATTTTTCAGAAAAGGGGTGCATATGTCGGGACACACTCCAAACCATCTATATGTTAATAGCTTGAAACTTCAAGACACAACTATGAATTGTGACTAAGACAATTTAAATATACATTTCCCATTGAGTCTGCACAAGTATTTATATTCATATTGCATTATGTTTTACCAATAATATGTTTGGTTACCAAAATGTGAAGACAAAAAAAGATTATGATTTATGACAAGTGTACAAGGTACCGTATGTACAAGAACCATAACCTTCAATTCAGTTGAGCAAGTTCTATAAAACCTAATACAATTGTATACTTTCACAATATCAAACCTAATAATGTATAAAATGGAAACAGAAACATGTTGCTCTAAAACAATAGCATAGATTGAAATAACAACATACGGAACACTTCGAGAATAAAAGAGTGTGATGAAGGTAATAATAATAAAGGTAATGGGATAGGTAAAAATAAAAATCCAAAATACCTCTAGCCCAACTTATTAGTAAGCTATCGTAATTATACTCAAATCCACACAGATTAAAGTTGTGGTATTATGATTCTTTTTGTAATCTGCTGACATTTATATCAATACCAGTAATAATTTATAGTTTAATTTGATTTGTTTAATTTAAGTTTAATTTGTATATTTAAAACTCCTTTATTAGTTTTAACGTTTGGGCCTATGTTTTATGGTCGAGGTCATACTAAAAATGTCACTGGCTATGCATCTGAAGATGGACCCCAGCCCTGAGGTAAAAATGAAGCTATGGTGCTGAAGCAGGAAGTTAATATACTGTGGTTTTGAAGTTAAAACAATTGTAATTTCTAACCAGCTCCCCAGGTCTGGTTTGAAAATTTTAGTAGTTAGATAGCTTTGATAGTATGTTTGAATATTTAACCTCACCACTTCAATTCTATCATGTTCAACAAGAGCGAAGTTGGCATCAGCAAGTTCAACCCATGTTTTTCTTTTTGGAAAATGTTCTTCAACTCTATTCCATATTTGTTCCAACATTTCATGACTGAAGTTAACCAGTTCTTCATCTGATTCAATTTCCCTAAACAAATGAGAAAACAGATGATTTCATTTCACAATTTGGTATTTTTATTGATAGTTGTGGAATGAAATAAAAATTCGATCTAACAGCAAAACGGATAGAAATAGAATGTTCATATTTATATTAAATCATGAAGGATATGAAAAAGCCATTCGGCTTAATGTTCTATGTACATATAGCCTTGGCAGAGGGTTTGTTACATGAACGATTCTGCTATGGTAAAGAGTTCAACAGGATTAAAATTTGCTAAACGCAAACAAGGCAATCAGTTATGCAATGGCCCAGAATAAAAAATATACTCCATACTATTCAACATATATCAAGAATTTACTTATTAACAAAAAAAAAAATTTAAATGAGCGGAATTTAAGTGATTTAACAAATGGCATTAATTTTAATTAAACTAGCGGTCACTTTTTTTATCCACCCCCACTATCGTGTACATCCAAGAGAATAATCTTTAGATCAGTGAGTGTATTAAATAATATCAATAAATTGGTTTTATTTTATTATTAACATTACTTACTTGAAAATAGCTTTAATTTTTTCATCATCTTCAGCAAACTGTTTTATCAAAAATTGTCCAATTTCAGTAATTCTTGGTTCAATTCTGTTACTGATCATACATAGATCATCGTGCATCTTTTCAACTTCAATTTCATGACTATAAAAATGAAAAGATCACAAATGATTTCTAACAATTTAAAATCCGAAATGAGTAATTTGATATTCTCTTATTATACTCATATCTGTCTTAAACATACATGTATTTTCCAACTAAGTAATAAGTCGACTCTGCGAATAAACCAAGCTCAATTTTTAACACTAGTTTTTCTATATTGGCAAAAAACCCAATAAATGTCCCTCAGAATGTCCGGTCAAAAATTGGGTCCGGAAATTTGGCTTGTCAGCAGAAAATACAAATATAACTTACCGTTCTTTTCTCCTTTCCGCAATTTTATCAATAATGTTGGATTCTCGTTTCGTTTTGGACAAGACATTAGGAAGTCCACGTACTTCCACTATTTCAGCATCTGGTTCATTTTCCTGTAATCTTGATGCTGCTTCTGTGGTTGTTTGTCTGCAAATGTTAAAGATAACAACAATTACAGAATCATACAATTGAATAAAAAATGAACAAAATATGGTAATTAGTATGTTCTAGGGCACACTTAACCTTTGACACATACATGAAAGAGTTACCGTAATAATTGGATTGTTATTGACCAATTATTAATTGGTCAATAAATAATTGGATTTTGAAAATTGAATGTGTTTCATAACAAACATTAGGATTAGCTTGACCGAAAACTAAATTCAGAAATGGATTGTAAAGAGTTACCATAGTTGCGACATAATATAAGATTTTTGTATTTATATTTTGTGTGAAAACAAAATTTTGTAACATTTTAAAGACCAAACTATAAGTTCTGGATAACATATTTTGCCAAATATTCTGTCTCAAAATTTATCCCTCACAATGAACAATGAAGCAAGTTAAAACGCGATTAAAGAATGGACATTACTACAGCCGGCTATCACTTTTGGAAATCCATTATAGCTTTTATTAAATAACATACTGAGAACTTAACATAATTCTGTCTTTTTCCAGAGGTATAAATCAGTATTAATTCTTTTATATAATTTTCAATATAGAAATTTATGATTTTTCATTTTTTTTGCTAATTATTGTTCACTCTCAGTTCAAAGTGAATTATGGAATGCCCGCTGCCATTCATAAAGCTATAGTATCAGACAGTTTAATCATATGGTGAACCACGGCCTCTCGTCCGGTTACTATACTCCGTTCCATGTCAGTTATATGAACCACCCTATGGCAGTGAGGATTCTAGCAATCTTCATAAACATGTGAACCCACGCAGGGTATTCAGAGGTAAGATAGATGTGTTTTCTTAACGTCTGTATAGCACAATAAGACAACTGTTGCACATATATGTTTGAGGTAAGATTCTGTGAGATATTCACATATTCCATATTTGTTTATTCAAAACCTAGATATCACAGTATTCGAGCTGTTGGAAAGCAATTCTTCATGATGTGACTAACAATGCATTTTTACACTCAGAAAATGAACAATTGAATAATGACTTGCAACACTTTTCAACTATTCTATCTAGCCTACCGACTCACCTATATTTTACTGGATTTTCTGTTGCATAATCATTTGGCATCCCAATCATCCATGATCTTTGACGTTCTGTCAAAATATTTCCTGACGATTTTAAATCTCTTGAATGTTGGGCAGTTTCAGTACTCAATTGTAGTGGTGGTAAACGATGCTTTTCGGGTTTTCTGGCTTGAAGTGAGTTCACAAGTTGAACTTCAGCATCGAACATTTGTCGGTAAACTTTACCACTCGGCAGAACACGAACTGGAACCCTGACTTCTGACATTTTAAATTTATTACAGTTTTACAGAGCAATGATGTGATATTTAACTGTTTTCTTGTTCGAATTGTTATTTCGATGCTAACAATGCCCAACTATAGGACATCTCCAACATATTATTCAACTAAAATTCCTTCAATCATAACTATTGAGCCAGAGTTCAACCCGAGAATATGGTAAAATAAGAGAATCGAGACTCAAAGCGCTGTTTGTTTATTTTCGGTACTTCCCCGTTTCCATGGATGCGACAGTCTATCGACACTGGGTGTCGCAAGTAATACTTATATTGCAGGAATATACGACCTTACTCCTGAACAAGAGAGCAATGCTCAAATATATGATATTTTCCTGAAAATCATATAGTGAACCTAGGTGGAACAGCTACGACAACTTACCGTTACCTGTATCAGGGTGCGTTTAGCGACACCATCAATCTTCCTTCAAACACTGAACATTTCGAAGCAATTGAAAACAACAACGATAACAACAAGAAAATGATTACTAAAAATGAACCGCCAACAACAACAATATAATAATAACAAAACGATCCATAAGTCTATTTTGTGTCCAATAAAAGAGAAACGCCAACAACAAATTAACAAGAGAGGTAGGCTATGCTCAAATATGTAGACCAGAAGGGCAAAACGAAATATTTTATTACCAATGACCTCGAAAATCATACGCAGTAACTTGCCAATACCTGTACCGGGGTGGTACCGTGGTGGTCAGGGACTGTTTTAGTTTTTCCAGGTCCTGTGAGGATGATCCATTTTTCATAATTCAGTTTCAAAAGGGAATTGAAATACAAAGTGATTCAGGTCACTTCTGTATTACCAGATCAGGTAACGCAGTCTACGAATCCCCATAAGAGACTCCCTAAAATCATATGCGGTGACTATTACCAGTACCTGTTTCGGGCACCGGTACAGGGACTGTCATATCTTTTCCAGGTCCTGTAACGATGATCCATTCTTCTCAATTCAGTTTCAACGTGAGTCACTTCTGTATTACCAGATCAGGTCCCACAGTCTACCGTTCCCCATAGGTCTAAATACTACATTCCCCATTTTGATATTCCACTTTCTTTATTTCCCCAGCAAATCACGCAATTCGTCGAAAATCGCTTACAGCAGTCTTCTAGTGAAAAATTATATTCTATTTGATCAACTCATTCAAATGCGGAAATCATATCAGTTTCAAACATTCAGCCTAACACTGCTTTCGTTGAACATCTTCAAAGAAAATCTCACAATAATAATTTTTGTAGGTATATTTCACTTTGTACAATTCATTGAGAATGAGGAAATAGTTCTTGTATGTTATTCTCATCAGAGTAGGCTTATTGCAGACTTTTGAAAATACAAATAATGAAAGTATTTCCAGCTCAAAACTAACTCCATCATCAATGGGAATTCTGAAGTTACGAAATGTCATAAATTGCTGATGTAATTACAGTAGTGTGAATCGTTATAAAATTTCCTAACGATACCTCTTATTGATTGACTTTAAAAATCCCAAAAGCACACCTGGCACAATCTTTATTTTAATAGTCAATGAAGTTTCTTGGTAGGTTTGGAAAACGTGTGAAGTTCGAACTTTAGGGCTGAGAAAAAAGATGGAAACAAAAAAGAGAGGCTAAAGCAGGGCGGGATAAAAAATTTGTGGGCGAAGATCAAATAACTTGGACCCTTTACGGATGATGATTGAGGCTTCTCCTCCACCATCGAGTTAATATTAAGAGAAATGAAAGCATTATCCACGTTTATTTATGCTACTAATTATGGACAGAACATTTGAAACCGTTTATTATGTTTCTTTTGAATAAAATTAAATTTTTCTTCGACGTTGATTCCATTTTAATTTCGTTGTCATGTGGGTGGAATTGGGCTCGGAAAATGTAGGAAGGGTCCATAGATAAGGCGAGATCAGGCTTGAAAATATCAGGTAAGGGTATGTGGCTGGAATTGAACACTGTAGATGTTCAGATAGGAGTAAGGGGAGGGGGTCAGAAGTGATAACGGAAGACACTTAGGGCTATTCCAAGTGACTCTACAGGACAATTCCAGAAATTTTGCATTGATGCAGTATATTTTTGTTGGAGTTAGATGCAATATATTTTTACATTTTCAGCTACATATTTTGTTTCATTGCCCAATCAGTTGCTTTATGGAGTTTGAACAAAATTGCACAGAAGTTACACACAGGACTTACTTAGTGGATATAAAATATATAGTGAAATATAGCGTGACACTACAGAACGGCAAATCCACCATGCATTAACGTTACATTGTGTTGTGCTGTAAATTGTCGCAATGGTACAGCAGGAGCCCATACTATTTTCTGGTGCAGTAGCTGGAGGACCTCTCTTGTGTTGCTCAAGTTACTTAATGTATGTAATGTCCATGAAATACTGCTATATTCTATGTCTTATGTTTGGTCTTCGTTTATCTATGACACAATAATCTGAGGACATCTAATGAGCTAGTTTAGGCCATGTGATAGAGGATTCTAGAACTAACTAATCTTAGTTCTTCACCAATTATACCAACATTACTACATTTCAGGCCATTTTGTGTAAACCATCAAAAACCTGGGTGGAATTTTACCTTTTTTGGTGAAATGAATGCAGTCTAATAAAATTCCAATGTCTTTGATACAAATAAAATACAAAAAATTACTTTCACTACACTTTTAAAAAACATGATGGAATTCAACATTTCCTTGAAATGGCCCTTAGGGATAGAAGGAAGATTGGACACAGCGAGTTCAGGCAGGGTTAGCGTGCCTGTATAGATTTGGTGCGAAACGGAGTTAGACTGAGGGCGCGATTTGTTGATGGTTGTCAAATAAGCTGGAATGGAAGCAGATGTAAGAGATTAAAAAAAGATCGGGGCGGAAACTTTAGCCAAAGTAAGTTAAAGTTAGAAGTAGAATGGGCGAAGCGAAGAAGTCTATCGGGAACGCAGCGGGGCATAAGAGCAACGTCAAACAATCAATCAATCAATCTTTTATTTGTCAACACAAAAAACAAGCATATAGAAAACTGTTACAGCAAACGAAATATACTGATCATGTTAATTGTGTGACTGGAGTCGCGAGGGACCTATAAAGGTCTTCAAGCAGCGATACCTAGCTGATGCAGGTTAGTATAAAAAAGTAACTAAATAAGACACAACTACTGAATACCAGTAGTCGCGGCAGTATACATAATTGAGGCTACTGTGCAGATTATTTAACAAAATAATCGCCACTATTCACCGTCTTTGCCGAAAAATAACGTCATTCATGCTCCCAATTATGTTGCCTAACTTTCAAAAAAGTATCAGACAACTAAAATTATTTGTTCAGTGGAGCTTATAATACGCGGTTTGTTTCAAATTTAATTGATATTCCCACGAAGTTTCCCATACATTTGAAACCTGTTGTTTTATTCCAACCTAAATAAGGGCCCCACTTTTTGAAGTAAAATTGAAAAAAATTGTTTCTTTGACGTTGAACCTATTTTAATTTAGTTGGAACACTTCTGTCGCATATAAATCACAAAAGGTTGCAATACCGGTTTAAAATATATTGCAATCCTTTCAATAACTATATAAAATAGTTAATGCCCAATATTACAATGCTGTCTCAAACTACCTGATGTAGATTTGAATCAAGAGTATTCACAAAATAATAGCATCAACTGCTAACCGTATCTGAATTGCATTTGACTTTTATAATCAGTGCTGAAGCTAGCGTCGTTGACTTGACTAGATTTGAAACGGACTTACCATTCATACTATGAGTGAAATAACTCTTGACTTAGCTCAGAAATAGACTACGGTGACCTGTGACTCGCAAGTAGAGGTTAGGGAATTCGGTACTCCCGTAGTGTATGCGCCAGGTTGGGGTTAGGTCATTATTTTATTCCGATGTTCCTCATTTTATTTGTATTATGAGTTCGGGGACTGTCTGTGTTAGCCAAGTGAATATACCCCCCTGTGCATAGGCTTCCGTCCATTCCATTTACACAACTTGATGTAAAGTAAACGAACAAAATTAGTTACCTCAATATTGGTACACACACTGCTGGAGCGCCGGGAATTCAACCCAACACTGCTAATAATCGGACAGATTACAATAAAGGGAAACTCATTCAAATGACATCACTTCTCAATACAATCTTATGTTATCGACAAAAAAAACTTTTTCAATGGAATCAGAAACACATCGATAAATGTGATTTAAAACTACATTTATTAGTTATGCATATCTCTACAGAATATAATTGGATTGTTAATGAGAAAAATTGCATCGTAAACACATGAAATAGAAAAAGATTGAAGTATCAGCTGAAAATTGACACAAATATATTTCAACACGTACACATGATTACAAGTAGAATATAGAGTGAACTACAGGAGGAAGCAAAAATAAGCAACATCATTTTCATATGATGTATCGGATTGGTTCGATTGTTACATTTCATAATTGATACTTGTACCTGTCTTGTCAGTACTAGTTCCATTGTTTATTACAAATACACTGATTAATTAAATATGATTTTAGGTAAAATTGTAAAAAGTTAACAAAGAAAACACTTGTTTAACTATGTAAGGCCATCAAATAGTACAGATACATTTATTTATTAACTAATCGAAATTCATTTTGCAATTATATTTCAATACGGAATAAATTGCGAATTCACATATATTCGAAGAAATCGGACTTCAAACGAAGAAACATTTTGGAAGCATCGGTGATTGGATTTCAAATTCTATAATATAATTATACAAACATAATTAGTTGTCTTTATCGGTAAATTTTGTCGTTCAAATTCATTATCTTGAAAATAAAGATATTCTAATATCGTCCAAATAACAAAATTGTATTTTATCAAATTTCGTTGTATTCCAATATTCGATTAGTTCTGCATGAAAATTGTGCAAAAAGTGCTAGAAAACGTAGACTCAAAGATGATATTGGAAAAAATAAAATGTATCGTAATCAGATTTGTAAACAAACATAAGGTTTAATAAAAACACACCTACATTAGATTATAATGGAACATTATGATTTCCAATCTCACAATTAATAATTGAAATTATTATCTACACTGCATTTGCATTAAATAGCGTTAATACCACTTGGAAGAAATAGTATAGGGAAGAAAATAATAAGGAACCCCATAAGTGACCCACATAAACAAACACATACAAGTGCAAATTCAAATAACGCCTCAACATTGAGTGCATATACTATTGAGGCTGATTTTTGCATAAATCGTGCATAAAGAACCAATAACTGCATATAATACGCTTGCTATTACAGATCTCACGATATATCATGGTAAATATCTTCTTCGGTGTGCAGAGTGTTTCGTTGATAGTTACTATGCGTGGGTGCTGGTCTTGAAGGTCGATATCCAGGTGACGTTTTCGGTAGATATGGTCGTGTCTTTGGTGAAGGCGGTCTTCTGTTGGGAACAGGAACTACAAAAGATATAATTATTTTAAATTGCGTCATATCTATTCACATTGGGAGAAAACTTTGCTTTTTGGATAATTCTTTCATTCGAGTATGAGATCCCATTTGTGAACATCAAAACAAGAGACACTGTTTGTAATAGAGCAATATGGAATCACAGTAAATCGAGAAATTTGGAAAAAAACAAACAACTAACATTTCCTGTCGATAGAAATAACTCCTTTCATGTGATGGGATAACGGGATAGGGTAACCACAAAATGACGCAGACTCAAAGTTGTTTACGTACTAAAACGACTCCGTTTTAAAGATTGGGTATCAAAAAAACAAAGGTACTGTTATGTTCAAAACCACAAAAACTCCGAATTCCACTTTCAGAGGGTAATACTGTGTGACGAAGTCGGTCGGAAGTATATTACAAATTTTACAAGTCTGCCATGCTTCCCTTGGCTATACTTTTATGGTCCCGTGATACTGCTCAACAGGTAATGAGAAGAAAAATCAAGACGAACAAAATAAAGTGATTAAAAGAAAGGATTGCCACGAGACATTTGAAGTTAGCTTTTATTTTGATATTATCATTTTTTTGATGTGACACAAAATGGGATAATGGAGACATAAAGCACGAACATAGAACTGGCTTTCCAAAATAATGAATTGATAGCAATAGTTTATTTGCCGAAAACAGTTCCAAATATTTACACAAAACAGCAATAATAACCCAGAATGTCTGGACGTTGAACAACCATTATCGATCAAAAACATAACAGTTACCGCAATTCCAGGACTTATAAGTTGCATGTTCAAAAATAACATTGATTATAATAGAAGATAAAAACGTCTATATTGAATTTACAAAACATTGGTTATCATTGACCACAACTTCAAACTCTGCTACAATTTTGTATTTCATATTTAACCAATGTTCAAATTTATCAATTCTTTTTGTTACTGTGTTTTATTGAGTATTACAATCAGCTGTTGACACCGCTTCGTAGTCATAAAATTGAAAGCAGTTAAAAATTTCAGCAAATATCTAACAGAAAGCGTGTTTTTCCCATACCGTTGTTATTGAAAATGAACACAGCAGTATCAAATACTTTATAATATATTAATTAAATAGACCTGATTTATAGGTAGTGTAGGATATAAGACTTGGAATTGCAAAGTGTTGCCTAGCAACACTGATGAAAAGAAGAGATGAGGCCAAGTAGTGCGGTGAAATGAAAGGATCCGTGAAATGTTTGCAATTAAATTATTTTGGCATCTTGGATGAATGAAATGTAAAAAATGATAACAATTATAAACTACAGAAAAGTTATTTTGAAAATAGTAGCGGGTGGCATAGGAGAATATTTTGTTAATGAAGATATTAAGTTTATCTATGTTGTTAGAATATTTCACAGCACAGTAGAAATTGATAATTTTAATAAGGACACGCACGAACTCATGCTAAACTTACATATTTAGATATAAGTTCTGTAAAAAATATAGCATCAAATAATTAGCAATCTAACACACACACACAATTTGTTCTAATACTACGGATACGGTATAGTGTTATGGAGACCACCAACGTGATCGGAGCTACTACATTCGCAAACAATTTGAATTTTCCCGGGTTACGAATACCTTACTCAATTTACCCGGCCCGACTGAAATGCATACGTATGTGGTGTCAATAAAGCAGAGATTTTCAAACGATGGGGCGCGCCCACTAAATAGCATAAAAGTGAAGTTAATTAGCTAAGTGTTTTAGAATACAAAATAAATGAAAAATCCCACTTCACTATCTGGTATTTGTAGCTTGTTTGGCTAGTTATTTTTGATGTGAGGCGCGAGACTTGACAAATTCTTAAAAAGGCGGCTGGCTCAAAAAGTTTGAGAAACACTACTCTAAAGAGTCTAGATTAATTACATGCGACGGTAACAAGTTAACTACTGACCAACGGGCCCCAAAATTCAAAATCCCTGATACTTGTGGTAACCTTCATAATCTGAATTTAAAACATCTTCATGTTTACCGAGATGCAACTTACATTTACTGTCATTCTCTTTCAAAATCAGAGCGAGATCAGCTGGTCTTTTCTTCATCAATGTTGCTTGCCATGATGAGCTGTTATCAGGTTTTATAGCGGTACCGGTCTAAAATAATACAAACAAAAAACTTGTTCATGTAATAGCAATATTTTTAAAATTAGAATCAGCAGATCATAAAGCAGAAACAAACCTTGTTTTGTGGTTCTTGGAGGTCAAGAGTCATCGTTTTCCGTAGCAAGGCAGTTGATAGATTTGAAGAAGCTTGTCCTAGTTTTTGTGATATTTCCGCAATCAAATCCTCGTACGATATTTTGTCGCCTACGTTGAATTTGAATTCACATTTGAGTGTGATAGGCTGCGTAAATATTTATGGAGAGTTTAGGCTAATTTAATAGATTAACCATCTTTTTGTATTGGATATTTTTTTGCTAACAATGACGTGTAAATTTTGGAGGGGTACCATTTTTTCAAGTTTGCTTATATAACTAATAAATTATTATACACTATAGGAAGCTAGACCAGGAGATGAATAAGGAAAAAGGCTGAAGATAGGTTTTAAGTGAATACCGATGCTTTAAGTTGTACGTTATCCATATTTTTCTTGAGCTCATTCAAAACGTTTTCCCCATCGTTTCTTATCGGTGATTTTTTCGGGGGCATATCTCTCACTTGAGCCACTGGAGGCGCTCTTGATGGGGGTGTAAATTTAGAAACAGAATTAGGCGGAGGAGCTGTTGGCGGTGGAGGCCTGTTCGGAGAGACGGGCCTAGCAGGAGGTGCTTTTACAGGAACAGGAGCGGGAATAGAGTGCGAGGGGGAGGCTCCACTTGATCCAAGTCTCGGAGGTGGTTTTGAAGGAGGAGGACCAACTTGGTTGCTACGTTTAGTAGTAACAGGCGATGGTGTAGGTGAATTGTTACCACCAGCTTGTAGTTTTTTCGCACCTACAAACCCGACAAATGAGTATTCTTCGTTTGCAGCGGCTACAACCTGTTACAGAAAATGCAATTATTATGCAAATAAGTAATAAGATCGAGAATAATTACCAAATAAAAAAGTGGGAAAAATCAGAAATAAGATGAAAAATTTTCCCATATAGTATGATTATCCCCCGAGCTTTATAAATAGAAACAGTAATCTTAGAGAAATAGTCCATTTCTTTACACATGAGAAACAACAAAAAATCTAAAAAATATTTTACCTTGGCTTCGGGTATAAATTTCGTAGACGTCTGCATTCCTTCCATTTTTGCTTTACTGACTCGGAAGAAGCTGTTTTCAGGAAGCAGAATCAAACGACTCGAAGCATCATTTCCAAAATAATCCCATCTCTCCGCCTAGGTATATAGAAGGTTCGGTAAAAGAAAAAGTCTTTTTTATTTGGAACAAAATGGGTTATGGAAACGACAATTTTCCGGACTCCCCAAATATGTGAACCAAGATGGCGGACACCGGAACGTAGTATGTGAACCAAGATTCCGGACACACCAATTGGGGTTAGACCATAATTTTATTCCAATTTTACTTATTTTAGTTCTATTACGAGTTCGGGGACTGGCCAAGTGATTCCTGTAGTATCTGAAATTATGACCTAACCCTAACCTGGTACACATACTACGTTTCGGTGTCCGCCATCTTGGTTCACATACTTCGGGAGTACCCAATTTTCTAGTTCACCATTAAATAAATGCCCACTTTTTACAGTCCAAAATAACAGGAAATCCCCAAACCCAATGCAACTTGTTCAAGACGGTTTACTTTTTCTGCCAAATGTCATACAAAAAATTCAAGTCCCCAATGTATTATTATTACTAAACATTCTACCATATGGTGACGTTTCCTCAAACTGCATTCAATCATTTGTGAGCAATATGGCCGCGATCTTTCGCCGCGTCAAAAGCAAAGTTTTGTCGCCGCAAACTCGTTTTAACTAGATTATGTAAGATTATATCAAATTAGGGAGTTAGTCGCAGGATAAATTTGACGGGGAAAATCGAATACAAATGGAATAATCTAATAACAAGTGACAACTCAGTATTAGAACAAGTGTCGCAAAATGACAACGAAGGGAATTCAGGGGTTACGTAGACGCCATAATGGACCGAGCAAAAAAATGGAAAAGAAGCGCAATCGCGATGCTTGGATAACTAGTTTCACCACAGCATTACTTCAAAACTCTTGATTGGTGGTTTCTCTAGGAAATGAAAATGAAAGTCATCTCTACTAATAAACATGTGTTACACATAATATCTTCCGCTCAAGCAGATGAAACAGAGTTGCCGCGTCGGAAAATACATTAAATTGAAACAAGATATTTCGACTTCAAACCACATCAAGCATCAAACGAGAAGGACGGTCGGCACGTTGGTTGCTGGCATATTCATCGTGAATGCTTAATGTCGGTAACATTTATTCAACATTTTTACTTTTAAAAGGTAGAAAGATAGTATGTCTTAAATACATGTGTGATCAGGGTATAATAGCCCTACAGGACGATTCAGACAAGTTTGATATTGGTATATTCATAACACGAGATGCAAAAGGGATTTAGATTCGTATCTACGTAATGAGGCGGTGAAAGAAAATAGGAATAAAACGCAATTTCATTTCGCTTGGCGTCATTCAGAGCGGAAGATCGTATGTATATGTTTATAACTGATGACGTCAAATTGATCAACTCGTCCCATTGATACCTCTACTGCATCTATTGCTTCAGGTATTCTGGAATGTCTTGAACTATCCATTGGTAATCCTCCGGCTGTGTGAAACATTTCTCTTGCGTTGTTGTAGTCGCCAGAAAATAAATACACCAGTCCAAGATTGAAGTTAATCTGAAAAACATAGAATCAATACATAACACTTAGCGGCACTTATGATATAAAGGTGATAAGAATCATTTATAACATCTTTTTTATTCAATTCATATTTGAGTATAATGACATGATATGTGGCTATAGATTGGACGTGAGAATGTAGTACAAATGAAATAGTACGCCCCGAAACATTTAGGTCGGTGGTGTTCAACCTTCATTCTGTTCTGGCTCATTTTCTTCGTCAAAAAAATTTTTTTAGGGCCACTTCGTGTATCATAATGTTTTCTTATTGAAAGCCTTTTCTTATCGAAAGCCTTCTGGTCCACCTTGAGAAACACTGGTTGTGCAAATCTTGATATTTTGTGGGCGCTCAAACTAGTCAGATTTTTAGAATTCAAAATTATTTACAAGTAATGTCTGGTATACTTAGATCACGTATAATTAACCTATAAACTGGATTTTTTCAGTTGAAGAAGAAGGCTTTTAAGATGGACCATCTTTGACAGCGGATGTATAAAAAAAAATTGTCTGGCCGCATGCGCCAGTGCGTTCATTGAACTCAAGTCAATTATGGGTTTCCAAACAAGCTGGAATTTATGAAATTCCGAGTTAAGTCAACTACATGATTTACATGGATTTAGAATATCCTGTCGATATACAAGGAAAACTTTGTATAAATTGTATTGGGGTTCCCACGGAGTGAATGCTGTAGAACAAAACCAAATATGCTTAAGTATACAAATCTTCAGGTTATCAACACAACAATTTTTCTTGTTGGGTTCATTTAATATTATAGGGCCTAAAACTGTGTCAAAAGAAATGCTGCACTCGTAGCTGCAAAGTTCGAATTTTGAATTCCCAACGATTTAATGTGACAATGATAATATTGTTTCTATATTACAAATTACGAGTATTACGAAAAAGTCGACTAGACAGTGGTAGTACTTATTTCGCATTAATAATATATACTTGTTTAGTTACTTGATATTGCCGGTTTAATCAATTTTCCTCATGATAATGTATGTAAACAGCATGGGTTAGTAGAATAAAACATTTACCTCTGCAGCGTATAATTTGCAAGTCATGTTAAGTTGCTTGTAGTCAATGAATGGATTTCCTCTCAGTGTTTCTATCGCTCCCTGAAAAATTTTGAAAGCGTTAGAGTTTAAGATAAATAAAGGTCTTACAAATTAAATCGATAATACCGAATGAAACGGAAACAAACCTGAAAACTGACCGCTGCAGACGGGAGGTCTAGGCATACAGTTTGAGCAATTGCGAGTTGAAAGTAGCCTAGTGCGAGATATTTATCTTTGGATACACACTGCTGGAACATCTGAAAATATATACAAGATATATATATACTATATAATATATACAACTCCATTCAAAAACACAGCACAATGTGTGTACAAGGTAAAATAATTCAAATTGATAACGTTTTGTATTGTGAGAAATGATCTCGTTAAAATATAGATTTCTATAAAAGTTAAACCTAAATGTTTGAAAGTTGACTTTCAAATTAAAGGTCAAGCTTTCATTTTTCTTCACCACATATAATCCTTGCACGACCCCTATAATTCGAGATAAAAGATCTTATGAGACTGTGTACTTTGAGGTTTAACATTGACAAAACCTAGGACTTAATACATGGTTTGTGTATTTTTACAAAAAGACTCTCATATGGTACAGGAAACCAATATGCCGAAAATTCGTGGCCACGAGCATATAACTATAATAATGAAATTGTGTAAACTGAAATATGGTTGTAACTATGAAAAGTTGCGAGAGCGGGGCGGATACGTTAGGCGATGTGGGGAGAAGATGACACCAAATAGCGGCATCAATAAACAGCCAAAACCAGCCCAGAAGCCTTAAAGTTTTATTATAATTCAAAACTGTAATTGATGCAGACACCCGAACGTTTATTAGGACCTTTGCATCTGGTCCAAGCCTATGTGATGCCTTGTACGTTGTACCATATATGAATATATCATCTCCACAGTAACATTGCACAATATTTGCAACCAGATATGGAATCTTTATGCACATTTATAGCAAAACAAATAGATTTTAGGGCTTGAAACGACTTATTCAATTGAAGTATGAATCGCTTATTATTCGATTGTCTTATTGCATCACAGAGTTTACTTACATCAAATTTCGAATGCAGTAATGAGAGAGACATAAAATTGATCTCATTTATATATCCAATCTTACCATCTATGAAACAGAACGTCATTAGAAACATTTAGTGAAATGATCAGAAAAAAACTAATTTCCACAGCAATAGTCTGTGAAATACACTTGGGTCTAGTCAATAAACGAATTCTTATGTTTGCAATGTCATTGAGGTGTAATTTATCGCATTACAAAGAATTAGGCGACAATGGGTGGTGTTTAAATCACGAATTCCACAGTAGTTTATTTAAATCAATCACGAATTAGATCAAATCAGGTCAATTCGGGCTACCAATGACTGAACTTGATTAAACCCCGTTACACATATGTCTACAATCAAATGGATCGGAAATTGAGATAGCCATTGCCGTCGAAAATTAATAAGTGAGAAAATTTTCTCAACATTTTATTAACGGATCAAGAGCAAACTAGCACGAAAGATACACTCCAGATATTTAGAAACTCAAGCCTGCATATTAAAGTATATTAAACGAACCCTTTGTTACTTAATTTGATACAAGGCTCAACATGATTAAATTTGTATTTTTGGGATATGTAGTGTTGTCCTCTTTCAAGTGGTTATATCCATTTAAGATGGCGATATACCGGAGTGTAATTTCATATTCTTATTATCGGTAAGGAACAAAAATGTAATATTCATTGATATTCTATACCCAAAACCTGATCGACTTCAATTTTGGTGTGTTTTTTTAAGTGCGCTCGGCTTTCGCCTTTCGTTTAATCGCCGAGATTGTTATCACGTCATCGCAATATTCGATCCGTTATAAGTCGCTCTTCGCCTTTTTAACCCGGTGCAAAAGTTGGACTATGATTGTGAACCCTATAAAGAATGGCACTTTTAGTAGCGATAAAAGAATTTAACAAAAACACACACACTGCTTTCACGTACATAAAAGTATTGCGTTTTCTCGCATTTGTTGAAAACGTGAATTCAAATTTAACGCTAAACGGAAAACAGAACGCTAAAATTATCCAGTTAGCATCGACGAGGACAAACGATTTACGCATTGAAGGTAAGAAAACAAACAGTCAAACCCCAACTATTCGTGTTAAAGGCTACTTGCTTCAAATATATAACGCCAATCTGTTAGTACATAAAATCACAGAAATCGATTAATTGACTTTTTCGAAACAATCATAAGATCTAGCATGAAAATCAAATTACCGTCACTACAATTTTCTTTTCCCTGTTGGGGCGTTCGGTCATCCGTACATTGGTCAACGAATGTCGACTGGACATCGCCAATCTGTCGCAAATTTGTAAAGAAAATACAAATAGAACATTTCTCATGTACACAGAATTCGCAGAGCGAGTAATCAAGTGATAAATTTCTAATATGGACATACAATTTTATTTTCAAGTTCTACGTCTACCATGCGATAGAGACAACTCATTCATGTCACAGTTCTCAATTTTCCACATTTCCAATCATACAGGCTAAAGCTGCGCCACTAAACATACGTAAATCAATCCAAACCAAACAACATTGCCCAGCATGTACCATAGGTGATCTATGCTTCAAGTCACGTCGCATTTATGGCCCATGCTTGGATGAATATGAATGTTATACTCCGAGCAAGCACATTTATGGTTTTACGACATTTGCTAAATGGTTTTAGCGGGCGCTACAATAGGCAGGTCAAATAACGACAAATAAACATTGTGATCAGGACGAATGTATGCATGTTAAAACAGGTGCTAGCCACAAGTTTACGATGTTTATTTGGTACGTCATGCTGACTGAAAATTTAATAAAAGACGTTCGTTCTTCTATTGAAATTTTTACCTACTATGATTTTTTTCTACCTTTCCCGTTCGTTATTTTTGAATCGATTGCTGGAATTAGCAAATCTGCTAGTAAAACAAATAAAAAAGTGACATGTCCCTTTTTTACGAAAATATCCTATCGAAAGCGACACCAGGAAATGAGGAAATAGCGTATCAAATTGGCCTTTATTCTTTAACGGAAAAAAGCCATTTCCAGGTTTTGGACCCGCGATTTTTGATATGCCATTCATTTATCACACTTCAATATTCGAGATAATCCTCAACACACATGCTAGCTATCGAGATACGAACAGCAAGTAAGAGTCACGAGATATATGTACACAGTATTGTGAGCATTGTTGATGAAGAAATATTTTGCACACATATGCTATAGGAGCATCCTTCACGCATATTCGAAGTTTATTCTAAGAAAAAAAAACTTGGTCCATCATATCATTCGAAAAAGTTAATCGTTCAGAATTTTCAATAGTTTGTCGACAGTCCGTCGCAGATGTTAACGGTCGAGGTCAAATCTATTAGCCTGCTCAAAGAGCGGATGATACGTCATACTTGTCAAATTTAATTGGATAATTTTGTTTGGAAACAAAAAGCTTTCTCCAAGACCCCACGTAATAAAATATCTTTCTTTATTTTTGGGAATGACGCCATTGTCAACAAATTAAGTGAAACTGCTTGGAAAACATATTTGTTTGTTGGGGTTGGGTCATGTGGTAAAATAAGCAATAAGGAGAATTTAATAAAATAACAGTATATGCTACAAACAAATCGTGGTGAAACGGTTTACATCGCAATATATTTGCTTGCTTATACGATTATCAAGTTTTAACATAGTCAATTTGTGAAGTAAAATAAAGTAGTGTCTTGATTTTGATGCATAATCAAAAAATATTTGAAAAGAAAGCACAATTACAAAATTAGATTACAAACCTTTCTCCGAACAGGCATAACAACTAAATTTCAATTTAACGTTTAATCATAGAGATCCTTATACGATGCATGAAACGTTTTTGCGTGGCTATATATAGGGTCAATATATTATAAACACTGGCCAACTATTCAGTAGGAAAGCCTGTTTCACCATGTCTAATCGTTATGAGGCAAGATTTTGACGTATTAACTCACCACCCGCTGTTGTTCAGTGTCCAACCGTCAAAATTTATGCCTCAGGGAATTATTTTCCTTCCACGATCCCTATATTTCATTAAACTGTCCCATACATCAAGTTGATAATCGCGTTTCCAATAAATTGCCGAACGAGTACTTCGACCGGCATTTTCTCCCACGAACCATAAATTGGATCCCTTGGGTGTATCGTAATATCTATCGATGCATTATAACCTTCCTTCACTTTAAGTGGAAATAACGGAATGGGTTCAATAAATGTAAATGCAATGTCAGAGAAATTTAGAATCTTATGTATCATTATGATATTGGTTCTCCAATCAGAACATATAGCTCAATCTCAATTGTTAAGCCGGGAAATTAAATCTCCCAATGAACCAAAGAAATCACAGCTCAATCACCCACACTGTGTAACGCAGTATCGGGTTTCTCACATTTGTCGGGGATTTACGTTCCGAATGTATTTTAAGGGAAACGAGGTCAAGGGCTCCCAAACGAGGTGTATTTACGGACATGAGCACGTAAACAGTGACAATACGTGCTTCCTGAAATATAAGACGGAGGAATTCCATAATAATTTTCCAGTTAAGACTGAATGAACAGCATTATGGAGGCATATATTCATAAATGTAGAACGTCGTAAAAAAAGATGACAGATGACACAAAAGTGAAGTAGTACAACTTCAAAAAATTACAGAAACAAATCACCGATTTTATGGTGGAATAAGATTTCACCGTTCATAAGAAATGAAACATTAAAAAAATAAAATGACGTGATTTGCAAATAATACACTCAGGCATTGGGGAATTTGAATTAAGAATACTGAAATAGCTATGAAGTTAAGAATCCCAACTTCTTACAAATCTAATCATAATTCCAATAAGTATATAATTAATTTTTTGGGGATCTTACATAAACCGTAAAAAAAACATTTCAGGCGCAAAACTATGTATGCACATGTAATTGTTTCCGATTCGTAACTGAGCGGTCAGTGCTGGCGGTTATTTTTAATAGATATTCGATATTGCTTGGAATAAACATGTATTGCTACTAACGCAATTCATTACAGATATGACATAATCCCAGTATTTCGTTGGCATTAAGCCATTATTATAGAATGGCATTTGTTCGTTCTCAATCCGGAAATCAAATTCCCACGAGATCTCATTTAATAAGTCTGTTTGGATTGTTAATTAATATCGACATGTGTCAAATAACAGTA